AATAAAACCAGTATCTTGAATAAGATATATTTGGTACCGATATAATTTTTAATTATTTTCTTAGCACAATAAGTATAGATTTTGCTATATATAACTTATCAAACCAAAATTCTCCTCATATTCTCTTAAAATTATAAACATATGCCAAAATAATCAATGAATATCAATATATGCTTTATATACAAATATTATAAAAAATTCACAAGTAAAATATACATTGCACATTAGTAATAATTTTAGGTGTTGAAAATAATATTAGATTTAAAATAATTAAAAATAGTACAAATTAACAAATGGTATTCTTATAGAATACTAATAAGTATTTTAATAATAGTGAAATAAAATTTGAAAAGTTTTATTATGTTATTATTATGCATTTATTTATGACAAAGAATACTAAATAACAATACAAAATATGGTACTATAACTTTTAAGTATTCTTTAAATAAATGGTACTCAGTTGCATAGTTGAATTGCACTATAGCATAGATTTTATAATATATAGATATGAGATAAGCCAACATACATACTTGTAAAATAACAATATTATACAATATATTAATATATTGCAACATAAAAAACCAATATTTCTTTGATATATTTAAATATTTTAAATTATAGTAAAGTAAATGGTTCAAAACAATTTTTTTCAGGTATTTTTATTTATCATAATATTAAAGAGTTATAATAATTTAAAATTTAAATAAATTGTATTCTTTCTCACTATTTACAAAATATGCTAAATAAGCTGACCCTAAAACTATTCTCAAATATGCAAAAAAAACTTTTTACTGTTAACTTAATATTGAATAAATTGTCCACATATTTTACCCTAATAAGTCTGCATAGGTATATTCAGTAGCCATGGTAGTTTTATTGGGAGAGTCCAGTGATCTGAAGCTTTCCAAGTCACTAAGTTTAGGTTGTGAATAAGTTTTATCCTCAGTTTTATAGTCAAAAATTAAAAAAAAAATTAAATTATTGGCAAATTGTGTAAAAAAAAACTAAAAGTGGATTTTAAATTATAATTTTTAAATTGAGTAAATTAAAATTTGTTTGTTGAATAGTTTAAATAAAACAGGTACAATCATGTATTTACAGCCATGTACAGTCAAAAAAAAAATAATATGTTTTTTGTTTATGCTAGTTAAAGTTAATTAATATTAATATTAATTAATTAAATTAGTTTAAAAAAAAAAAATAATATTTTTTTTATAATTTGTATGACCTACTATAGTAGTACAGATAGTATAGTAGGTACTATTTTGACTCAAATAATCGAAACATGAAGTGATTTCTATTAACTTATCAACTTAAATTATACTGAACAGTTTTAATTTACCAATTGTATCAGCTGAGGACTACTTGTCATAGGTTTTGATGTGGATGTGATAGATGACAATAATTGAGCTTCTACTTCTTTAAACGCCACCTAAATAGCACACAAGTAAACGAATTGATAAAATAAAGACAATTTAAAATATATTACCTTATTGTCCTTCTTAATTTTTATAATTACTTACCTCAACATTTTCTAAACGGATTTTTTTATTTGTATTTTTAGAAAAATAAGAAAATAAAGTGTTTTTTTCTTTTGTGTGTGTAGAGTCCATATTGTCAACACTTAACACTTCACTTCACAAATCACAAAAAAAAAAAAAAATTATAAGAAACAAAAATATAAAATAAATAATAATGGAAGACGAGCAATGCTGTAGGAAGTTAGCAATCGGAATAGCACACGCCACACTATCTAGAATATTCTTGTACAGAAACATCAACGGTAGCTTATAGATATTATAATTTGATATCTAATGAATACAGTTAGACGACAATCGATAGCTATAAATAATAATCAATTATCAATGTTATTATTAACCTACCAATAACATAAACAAATTTTCTAAAAATAAACATATGCCCTATGGTTTTTTTCTATTTATGTAGTAGGTATGTGAGCGTATACGTGCGTATATGTGCGTATTGGTGTTACTTTTATAAAGTATACGCTAAATCACCAAGATGGTTCACGGGTATACGTCGTATACCCGCGTATACCCTCCAAAACACCACTAATACTGTGTTTAATACATAAATACTAATACTGTATTAGTATTTAATGTGTTAAAAATAACTTGAAACTTCATACTTCTTTCAGTTCGACTCTTTTGGTTTTTGATGATCCAGTAAGGTCTTTAATTTTCTACATTAATTACATAAGTAACATATTTACGTAAATAAAGTTTAGTGTCCAATATGTGATTTATTTTTTTGTACAATTAGTATATGGGCATTGGGCGTCCACGGGAGGGGGCGTGACAGGGCTTTTGTACAGTGCGTACCCCCTAGAATTTTAGATTTGTTACCTAATTACAATAATTTTATTCAAATAAATGTAATAATGACGAAAAATAAAAATGTTCTTTAAATAAAGTGTATAAAAAAATCTTCATTTGTTTTTTCAATTGGTTTCCTCCCCCTTAGAAAAATGTCTTGGGACGCCTATGAATTAGTATTAGTCTTTAAGTATTACACTATATATTAGCATTGATTTTAGAGTATATACTCTAAAATCAATGATAGGTAGTAGTGTCATGAAATCGTGTACGTCTGGTTACATTTTATTAGGTTTGAGGAGTGCTGCTATATTGAAACTTTAAATATAATTACATAAATATATAATATTTGAAATAATTGAAACCCTAGTAGATAATATATAGCCCTTGGCCTCTGTACCCTGAAGCGAGTTTCATAATGCCCAACATTACACTCCGCACTCATTATAATTTATAGTTGAAGATTTAAATTGATTGTTTATACTTCTAATAGTATTATTTTAAATGGTTTTCCTTTAGCATAATAGTGTGGTATAGGTACTAATATATAGATTTCTATCGATATTTGATAATAATATTAATAATTGATAGCATAAACTAAATATAAATATAATTTTCAATTAAACTCGAGATCTATAATTTGAGTATTGTTTTTATTCATGTAAAATAAAAAAATAACTGAAAAATGTATTTAAAAAAAAAAAAAATTAATAGGACGCTAAACATAACAAAAGCGTATTTATAGGAAAGGGATTTCTCTTGGTCTTTTTTACTGATGTAAGTATGATACTATAATATTGTTTTATATATTTATGGTGAAATAAAAAAAATATTACAGAAATAGGTTCAGAGTAAAATAATTAAAAATACTATGTAAATTTTATTAAAATATTGAATATTTATATATTAAGCATTTGAAGATTTATGGTTTATTCCCTGTAGTTCATATTATACCTACTCCTTAGTGCTTACTGCTAGGTATATTTCGTATTGTAAAATAGGCACCTAGTATCTACTGTCGTTGACCCTATCGCTAAATGTTAAACCACATAGCTAATAAACAATAATAAGGGTTTGGTTATTATTTAAAAACAATAGCTTATAGATTTGTTGATTTGTTTTAAACAATAAACATTATATAATACCTGAATATTCAAGGCTCCATTATTTCTATGTTTTAATACATCAAAAATACTTTAACGTTCTAAATAATACTACTGAATACAGATAACATCAAAACTAAAAAATGTAGGTAGGTAAAGGAGCGAAGACAGTTTGTCAGCTTACATCACAATCTCTAATTCATGATGTTTTTTGCGAACCAGATATTTCCTTGCTGGACTATTCGCTCCAACCGTTTCACTGCCGGACTAGGGTTAACCTTCCCACAAAATATCAATAACACAGATTATAACACACTTTGAGTTTTGAAACATCAATTTTGATTTGTTTCTAGGTACAATTTATTAACCTTATACAGAAATATATAGTTTTAATTTCAATTAATGTATAAACAAGTTGCCATTTGCTAAACTAAAGGAATAATAAGAATGAGAAAATATCACATAACATTTTTATAATAAATTGCATTGTCAATAAAAATTTCGTTTTATTAAACATAGTATCTATAACAATACATTTCTGAAGTTAAATGTAGTGTGTGGTTACTTATTGATGATTTGTAATACCAGCTTCTAAAAGTTATTAAAAATATCTATCCGTAACACTCTTCAAATATATTATTACAAACAAATAAAAACATTCAATGCATAATCATAGTTTATATTAAATTTTAAATCTTAAACAATTGTCATCAGAATAGTACAGATGTGATAGTTGTGTATAATTTAAAATGGGTAGTATGTATTCGATTACAAGCTTGCATAATCACATCTAATATATTATTATTATCATAAAGATCCTTAAACCTATTATATAATTATTGTAGACAATTTTAATTATTTTTATTTTTTGATTAATGATCACTTATAGTAGTTATTGAATATACATATATAAATATATTATACTTATATATATTTTTTAATAGTTTTAAACAGCACAATAAATAATATATAATAATAATAATAATAATAATAATAAAAATAATAATAATAGCAATAATAATACTCATATAAATAAATAAATATATATGTGTGTGTGTTTATTGATATATTATACACAATTACATGCACACATTTATAATTTTTTTTTTTTTTTTTTGTTAAAACAGAATTCATCCAATCTACATAAATCTTAAAACATTTTTAGTATGTGTGTATAAATTAAAAATATATTGTTATATAATTTCCACATGTATTTATTCAGAAATTTTATATAAAAAAATAATGGAAAAATAAATCATTTCATGTTTCAGTATAATATAAAACTTAAAATTTAAGCTAAAAATAATAATAATAATAATAAATATAGTATAATAGAAAATGCATAAAAATGTACGAGCAAAATGAACCAAAACAATTATATAAAAATTAAAATAGAAGTATACATAATATTTGGTACATGTTTACTAGTAATTAATTAGCCTAGTGTAATAAATTGTTGATTAGGTAAAACAATTTATATCATTAATCAAAACAATAATATAGTATTATATAATATTATTTGACAAAGTATAAATAAAGGTTTGTCAATACTCAAATTATTGAAACAAATATTTAAAATATTGCTAAAAAGGCTAAAATTGATATTTCATAATATAGTATAATATAAGACTGGAAAAAGCACTAACGAGAAGTTTATTTTTTTATTATTATTATTATTAAATAAGTAGGTAGTAATCTTTGAGAATAATGTTTTCACTTGTGCATTCAACTTGATTCCTTTTCTTTCTCCTTCTCTTTAGCTGCAAATTACAAAATGTATTAATCATTTTAACAACATGTTTAATTAGTGTTTAGTTAATGTAAACAATTTAGTACTCTTTAGTCTTTAGTACTTCAATTAAACATAGAATATTAGAATTGTCATGGATTAATAACATTTAAAGAAAAAAATATTGTCTTTTTAGATTTAAACCTTATATTCAGTAATAATACTTAAATATTGATGATTGAAGAAAAATTGGAGTATATTTTGTAATGAATTTGAGAAATATAGATTAACAAAAGTTACTGAGGTTTTCTTTAAAGACTTACTTCATAATAAGTTAGATGCTTAATTTATCCAATATAAATATATACATATTTGAATCTACTTCAAACTTTTTTTATTAACAATAGTCAGTCATAATTGAATCACTAAATCAAACACCTAACTAAAGTAAATTATGAATTTCAACTAAATAAAAACAAGATAAAAATTTTTATTTTTTGTAATGTAAATCCAGATTGATGATTGACTATACTCTTTTTAAATGCCAATTTTGAGCATCTCTCATTCTTTCATTGAGACCAATTGCATTATGGCAAGGTATCACATAGATATATGTAGAAAAACCTAATTTTATCAAGCTACTGCATATTATTCTTGCTGGACTGAGTATAGCAATATATTATTTCTTAAGTACATTTAAAATGGTAAAAGTTGTAATTGATCTATTATATTTAATACATTTTAAATGAGTTTAATTATAGTAATTCATATAACAAATTAAATTAACATACTTGTAGGACTTGAAACTTCAGGAGTTGTAGTGCCATTAGCAGAAGAATCTTCTTCTTTCTTTTCCTTTTCTTTATCAGCATTCTTTGATTTTCCTTTAACCGGTGTAGCTGGCTTTGGTTTTGGTTCCAAGCTTGGATCCAAGACAATTTTTCCAATATTTTTTCTATCATGCATTTTTTGCATAGCCTCACCAACCTACAATTATTTATAAATACCAATGAAATATATACTTTATTATATAGCCACTTAAATTTTAAATTTTATAATATAAATACTAACATCTTCAAAAGCCCAAGTGGAATCAATAACTGGTTTAACTTTTCCATCCTTCCATAATCCAATAACTTTGTCAAATATGTTTCCTACATATTCAGATTGGTTTTGGTGGAACAATAATCGTCTTAAATTGAATCCCATAAGAGTTTTACTGTCATCAAACAATTTCAATGGAGAAATTTTATCCACTTGCCACCACTTCAAAAAAATAAAAAATAATTATTATTTATTTATTTTTATTATTAATTGGGTATTTAAAACTTACAGATTTAGCAGCACTAAAGAAACTTTTTGTTTCTCCTGTAACAATGTTGGATGAACCTAAAAAATTTTTTACATTATTTATTGACAACCAAACGTTTTAATTAATTAAAAAATATTAAATATATAATTACCAAACAAAATATATTTTCCCATAGGTTTTAAAAGAGAGTATCCACGGCTACATTCTTCGCCACAAACACAATCCAAAAAGAGATCCACTCCTTCTGGAGAAACCCTTAATAAATCAATTACAAATTTTAATATAAATTTAGTTAAATTATTAAATTATATAAGTAAATTACTTTCTAACTTCAGCAGCATAATCACTTCCACGTTCCAAAAGATGATCAATGGTTCCTTTTAAAGCTTCATGTTTAGTTTTTGATGCTACACCAAATACTGTGACATCTACTGTTTTGCAGAGTTGGGCAACTGCTTGACCCTAAAAAAATAAAAAGTATTATTTTTTCATTGCTGTTAAATTACTTGAAAAAAAATAATTGCTTTTTTTGTCTAATGATTTAGATTAAGGTAATTTATAGAATGTTCTCTGCACACAATAAATGTTCTAATAAATGTAATAAAAAGTTATCTTTTATCACTAAACATTAAAATATTAGTAAGTACTGATTTAATTTGATACAAGAAGACATTGTTATTTTTATGACTACAGCCGTAAAATTTCATACTAGAAACAATTTAAAATTACAATGTATGAGTTTAATTGTTTCACTTTCTATATATTTTTAATTAAATTTACTATTAAATTTAATAAAATACAAGACAAATAAAAACTGAAAATTGAAATATTTAACTCGTTAATAAATTTAATATTATTAGGTACCTAAATGAACTAAAATTTTAACTCTCTAACTGACTACAAAATATAATTCTGTCTTTAAACAATTAATAGGAATGATAATTAAAGTTATCAAAAATAGCTTTGTAAACACTTAAAATTGTAAAGTGACGAATATTATTAAAATCATATTTATATTGTGGGTTTTATAACAATTTTATATTCGTTGTGGGTTACTATTGTATCCCGTATCCCAGTATCCCACGGTTATTATTTTTTCATATCTTTATTGCAACTGGTTTTTGATAAGTCAAATTTTAGGTACCTTTTAATAATACTTGCCACTTAAATTGATTATCACTATTTGCGATTTATTTATCTACTGGATGAAGTTGTATAAAGTTGAACTCGTTTGTGTAAGTGAATCCCGCGTGACTATGCCATAATTATTTTTGTGATAGTGTTTTTTTTTTTTTAATTTTACCATGGATAAACGTGAATAAAAGTGTATTTTAAGCTTACTAGATGCTATAAATGATTCATCATCAGATAATGATGAAGTGGGTGGTATAAGTGATTATGAAATACCTAGATGATTATTTTGAGGAAAATGTTGAAAAGAATCAAGTGACAATTAACACGACATTTTAGAAACCGTAGATGATCTAGATTTTAGTAGTGAATAGTGATTTAGAAATGTCTGTGATAAATGCAATCATTGGGTATGTGAAAAACATTACTTAAAGGTATGTAATACTTGCATGGATTCTAGTGGTGATGTAATGGATGATAATTTTTAAAATATATAAATACATTTGTTTAATAATAATAATTATGATATTACTTTTTTTATTAATTTTATATGTAAAAATAAACCATTTTTATAATGTTAGATTATTTTAATTAGGGCTTTTTTTTTTTAAGTTGTATAACAAGAGAGTACAAATTAATAAAAGCCAAATAATTTATCGTAATTATGATTTTGTTCAAGTAGGATTAAAATTAAAGTATTATTAAAATTGGATATTTATTAATATGCATTATTTGTATAACATTATATTGTACTATGAACAATAGTATGATAATTTTGGGCTAAAAATTATATAAACACATTCTGGAAGTTCTCTATAATATAATGATATATTTAAAAATAATATTAATTAATCAAAATTGACTATTAAGGATTAATATTGATGGGGTACAATAGTAAGTAGTAACCCACGTGACCAATGACGTTATAAATAACAACGCGACTTATATCAGATATTGGTATACTAAACAGGAAAGTTGTATGTTCAGATGTTTTCATTGGCTATATAGGTACTTGTACATACTACACATAAATGTTATTAAGTTATGATTTACATTTTATAATCGGTTTTCTACTATTTTCACTATTTATCACAAAAACAAAAAAAATTATTCAATAATAAAATATGACGGACAAACCTAATAAAAATATAATATTCACATGTCGTTTAAATTCTTCGCTTTAATTATTTTATCAGCTTTTGACCATAGGTTATCGTGATAAACGATTCCTAATAATTTAAAACTTCATAACAGAAGTCATGAGATTTCTAATCTCTAAAATGTACAGTTGCGTAATATCAATTAAAACGACTAGGAGAAAATCGCAGAAGAGAGAGCGTCCATAATCGATTGATCGTGGTGAAAAACAATTGACATTTATAACACCGCCACACTAAGTAAACACGTGCCGCGTTTTCCTACGCCAGTCGGTATTTTTTTCACAGATGCATGTAAACTGTAGACTATGTAGTTTCTTATCTTTTGGCGGCGGGGAAATAATTAAATTGATTCATTACTCGGTTTGATTACGTATAATATTATTAATATTGTATCTTGTTCTTGTATGACATTTGCGACATTTCGAATCAAGCGTGCTCTTATAATAAGTAGGTACTCTAGACTATACAAATATAACAACATTCATATACATTATAATAATGACGGTGTTATATCACCATATCCAAAGTCTATTTCAATGGTATGCGCATTTTGGATTTACGAGTTAAAAACGTGTTTGTCCATGGTTTAGTTTTCAATTTTGAATGATCCAACATTGATGGTAAAACCAACAATGAAAGGTAGCTTATGGAGGATTAGCACGCTCAAATAATTCCCAAGCCCCCAAACTTAAATTTAATATATATATATATATATACGATTGACGGTTAAGTTTTATTTTACAGTTAATAATATTGGAATGTTTTTAATTATTACTTTATAATAATATATACATTTATAAACTCCATTTTACCTCCTGATCCAAATAAAATATTATAATGTAAGAACTAAACAGGAATTTTGATTAGAAGAAGAAAATGTACAAAATCAATAACAAACTTAACGGAAAAATTATAGGTAGACGGTAGACACAATAGTAGAATATTTTAGTGGTCTAACACACATAAACAATGTGGAGTGTAAAGGAAATCCCACTTCATCACAAATTCGAACAGTAACTTGCGCGCGTTTGAAATGTTATAATATTGTCTCCGAGTCTGGACCGTTAACTAATCAAAAGTTAGAAGTTATTTATGTTGGTGACTAAGTAATTTTTATCTGATCTAATTGGGGGGGGGGGTATAGTATTCACAACTAGACGTTATTACATCGTTTCGTATAACTTTATAAGTAACTTGAACATGTTGCAACTTGTAACTGCTGCAAGTTAAGTATTCTAACTTCGACTTAACTTAGTCACTCGGGCACGATTACCACTCTATACACCTAACGTATAATAACATATAATTAAAATATAATATACTTACCACTCCGCCACCAGCCGAGTGCAGTATCAGGCTGCTGCCGGGCTTGACGGCGCCCAGCTCGAACAGCAACACGTAAGCAACGATGTAGTTGGTGGCCAAGGCCGCGGCGTCCACGTAGTTCAGGTTATCCGGTATGGCAAACACGTTCTTGGCCGGTACGGATACGAGCTCGGACCACGCGCGCCACTCGGGCAGCGCCACAACGCGATCGCCGACCTGTAAATAAAATACACAGGATCGTTATTATGTTATTATATAATGAAAATACAAAATGATAAGCAGAAAATTCGTGTTGGTTCGACTATAACATAATATATATTCCATTATTTGAATAGATTAATTTTAAACTTTAATTTATTATAGTTTACTGCTGTTTATTTAATATTTTATGGGTGATGGATAATATTTTACTTATTTCGTCTCAAAAATATTCCGAACTGTTATAATATTTTATTCGTCCGCTATCGTATACCTATACTATGAAATACGTAACAATAATAATAATAATAATATCATCGTTGTTATTTTTATTATGGTAATCGATTCGCACGTGGGAGAACGACGTCTGTTTTTCATTTTTCTACAATAACTGACGAACAAACCGGTTGCCGGTCAAAAACGATAAAAAAAAAGTATTTTTACGAGCACTGGGGGCTAATAATAGTATTTAATAATAATAGGGGACTGAAGATGTATTGCCTTGGAGCTTTTTTAATTTTCCAAACGTATGATTATTACGGATCCAATTATCATAGAACTCAATATACACGAGTTAGTTTGACACTATTGTATTATAGCTCATAATATGATATGCAATATTAATACATCGATATATTATTGTGATATTATAGTTTGATTAAATAGCCAATAGGTCATATTAATGTTAGAGACATTAATTGAATAATTTGATAATATGTGTATCATATATCAATTATCAAATAATACTATAATTACAATTATTACATAAAGATTGAGCCCATATAAAATTATAATAACTATTAAGACAAAAAAATATATAATTTTATTAAATTTGAAAATAAAATTGTATAAACAATGCTTTTATCCGACGTTTTTGTTATACACCAATATCCTAGTTTTATTATTTCATAAAAATAATAACTATTATTTTAACATTCGCTGAAAATAAACACAATATTGATGAATATTGATGAATATTTTGAATATTTTATGTTTTCACCATAATCTATTTAAAAAAAGAACTCTTGATATTTAATATGTAGATACCAGTTTTTTTATCATTCAGTCGTTTACATAATGTAACTGAATTTAACATATTTATTTAATCAAAATGTAAACTAATTTTTTTTTGAAAAAAATGTAAGTTTGTTTTCGGCGGTATCTCCGACGAAAAAAACCCAGACGTTCACGTATATACTTCTCTTTCTCTTCGTCTTGTTAACGATCTGCATCTGGTTTAACACATTCGAGTTGTCACTTATTATAAGGGAGAAAAAAATAATCACGTGTTGATGTACTTAATGGTTTCCAAGACTGCAATGGTGATACACCATCTCGCAGCTGCGATGCAACGTTATTTGGGCCTTTTTTTGTGGTTTACCTCCGCCGAAAAAAGAAATATTGCGTGCATAATTAACATTTGTCTGTACAATCGTGATGTTGACATTATTAGCGATTGGCGACGAATGATAACGACGACCATGACGTGGTGTAAACGTACACGCGAACTAAAAATTCGATCGAATTGGCCGTTTATCCATTTACCACTACGATGAATAATGATCACTCCTTATAAATGCCGGACCATTGAATAGGTGTGTGGTGTGGTGTGTGGTGTGTGTGTGTGTGTGTGTGTGTGTGTGTGTGTGTGTGTGTAATACAGTATTCGATTATTAAATAATTAGACTCAATGAGGATCAATTATCGTCATTATTCACGTTTCACACGATATCGCAGCACATTCTTGGGTCTGTGGCCCGCACGTGTGAGAGCGCACACCGAGTGTCCACGTCTCTGTGATGCTAAAGTATACAAATAAGCGACGGCAGCAAACGGCGCATCTTCACTACTTTCCCCCCAACAAACGTTATTATAAAAAAGAAACGGTCTATTAACATTTTTTTTTTACTTAATCATATTGAGGACGACGACGTTTGCATACCTCGAGGTTAGTAATCCGTATAGCTTCTCTATGCGGGTTATAGTTTAATTATTATCATCTATATATACGGCACACGCACCGCTACAGTATATATATATTATGTACACGCCGGACCCTTCTGTGACATTGAACAGTGTAATAATACGTCCCGTCACTTAAGAAAATAACCGTCACTCTGTCGCCACTCCGGTCTAGATGATAAAATTGTATTTGTATTATACTAAAATTTACCACAGACGATTCTATTGTAAGTATAAAGAGTAAGGATGCCACGGAATGCCGCACCTCCTTCACCTCTACGCTTATTTTAACCGCACGTGGTTTGCACGAACGATTAGAAACTTGTCCCTTCCGACGACTGTGTATACACAGATATACGAGGTTAATGTCAAACAACGCGTTTTATTGAACCGCGATGATGGAGACCGAGATGAATGTGATGTGATGAACATTGAAATCTATCCCTGTCGATCGTTAATAGTATACATTCCTTCACATCTATAATACTTAATCGTGTCTTTAACACCAGACAAGGCGGCTGTATGGGTACTGTGTATACATAACAACATTCTATGTACATACGCCACTATATACAAAAGAGATTACGTTCGCAATGTACACACGAGTGCCGGATGCAAACCGACGCTTCGGTGGACGGAATAGTTTAAATTAAGCCGAGCTGTTAAACGAACACATGCATTTTTCTCGGGTATCAAGTGACTCGTGTGTACATAAGATAGATCATTATTCATTACTAATCTCCGTCAAACACTCGCGTGGGCAACGATACGCGAATATTATTTTCGTTTCATTATTCATTTGTCTATTAAAAGAATTTGACACCGGAGATTCGCGTACATAATATTATGAAGTAAAAATCTAGAGCGACCGGAAAATTGATACGCCTACGGTCTATGTTTCAAAACTTGATACTAACGATGACCACAATAATAATAATACATCATACACGTGGATTGGTTGGTCACAAATTTATATCACTGTAGTTATAATATGTAGTCGTTGTTTTTTGCATCATGATGCATAAGTATACAGAAGATATTTCTCACCTTGAACTTCTCAACACCTTCTCCGACTTGCTCGATGATGCCGGAACATTCGAAACCCAATATGAACGGAGCTTTAGGCAGAGACTCGATCACGCCTTGTCGGGCCATTAAATCTTGGAAATTCAAACCACTAAAAAATAAAAATTACCAGAATAATTAATAAAAATGCATTACATAAGCAATTTTGTTATACAACTATTTTCTTTTAACAGAATGTAATAAATGAAAAATTGCAAACTCCATGATCGCTTTGTCGTCATCAGATAAAATTATTATATTATTATACTTATTTTTATAACCTACATTGGACAAATAGTTATAAAGAAAGACACGGAAAAACCTGATAAGCTCTATGCTGAAATTGTTTTTTGTGTACAATATATGTACATATTATTACCGATTAGTCGATATAAAAATAGGATATTTATGTAAGTATCTACTTAAGTACTATCAAGCATTTACAATAAATTATAACATAATCATCATTATCTATCTCCTTTCAAACAGACGAGATTGTCGCGATAAAAAAGTAGAAATTCAAAAAGCGAAGGGTAGTTACTAGTTACAGCTGTGTATAGATAGTATATATACGTGTAGTAAGTATATATTACAATTAAATTCATTGATATCGATAACAATCGAATACAGGAGTCATTTCAAACATATATTGCCGATGCGACACATACGACACTTTCATTTTCGCGTAAAAATTACGTCGCCATCGTCGTTGTACACAAAAATGGGTTTTGTGTATTTTTTTCAATTTATACAATTGAAAAATGTAATCCATTTATTGTGTCGCCTACACCGACGGGCGGGCGGTGCCCTATATAAGTATATATAATAATATGTATATACATATATCGCTATTTACACGATACACGGGAAACGAGGTGATTCAGAACGACAATGTATAATCGGGTTTTAAAAGCATTCCAGCCCGCTGCCGCCATGTCAGTGCGCCAAATCAAGGGGGTGGTATGTATAAATATATGGTGCACACCGAAAACGTTGCCATTATTGGCCGTTGCGCGCCCGAGTTGGCCCGATTTTTATTTTATTACGAGACACGATCGAGTGCAATAATTACATCGAAATGTAAACGGAGCGCGACGACGACGAGGGTGCAGTGGCGACGACGATGACGGCGTCCGTCGCGTGACCGACGGCAGTTAAACGCGTAGTACAAGTGATATTATACATAATATTGTAACGTATTCGGGTGGAATAACCCCTGGAGGGATGGAGAAGTGGCGGCAGTCGCGAATAGTACACAGTTGTATTATAGATATATATATTATAAATATGTTTGGTGTGGTAGTCGGCCGGCGGTATGTAAGTGCAGGTATAGTAGTCATCGTGAATTGTACTATGTAGTGTTCACGGTGTGTATTCACGAGCGTCTGTGTGACGGTGGTGGTCGCATGGGGGTGCAAAAGGGAGGAAAAACCGCATTTATCGGTGACGCCGACGTGTCTAGACGTGTTGTACAGTCACGTAACGCGGTTGCCGCCAGCCGTCGGGCCTCCACGACATTGCACGTTACCCATTATATATTATTATATAGGTGTATTATTTGTAACGACCACGTAGTTTTTGTAATATTTATATAATACTATTACTACTACTATGCACGGCGATACGTTATTATTATTATTAGGTGCGTTGTATATACATATTATAACGCACGTATGTGATGTATAATAGTAATAATATCATAACCCATAAAATTTTTTATAATAATAAAATAAGTTAAGGTTAATATGAATACGTGCAGGCGGTGCCGACACTCATTCGTTAAAACGAGGTCCGTCGTCGTAACGATAAATAAAAAAATCGCGACACCAGTCTTATTTTTAATCCCTTCGGATTATTAATATTATTGCCCAACGACTACCCACGCGTAATAACAACCACTGCTCGCAATAGTGTTTAATAATTTAATGAGTTTCTTCGGAGCCACTTATTATCTGCCGGCGTACCATAAAATTTCTTGTTGTGTTAGGCGTGCGACCGTAAATCATTTTGATAACGGTTTCTATTTTGCGTCCCTGTATACAATGCTACACAACGGAAAACACTCTTAAAAGATTAACTAAAATCTTTGGCTATGACGAGGACGTTTTCATAATATAACGTTACTTCCGCCTATTGACGTGGGTCACGAAATAATAGCGTTTCTCGATCACCCGTTTACGTCGCAGCCACCTCGACTTGTTTATTCGAGAAAATCGGAAGTAAGATTAATAATATATACTGTTCCGGAGGTACCTCAAGTATTATGAACTGCAATTGGAAAACAGAGAAAATCAGTCGACCATGCAACTTATTCCCACTTTTTTTTTATCTAATAAAACACGATTGTGTACGTTTAATGTATAGTTACTTCCTAAATCGTGCCACTGTGCCAGCGTACGACGAATGCAGATTTCTCCTTGTCGACGATTTACGACAATCGTAACAGAAAAAACTTTTCTTTTCCAACCCTCCTCCCACTACCACAGTTCTATATATTTTATATCACTATTTGATGCACGATTCACTGAATGTCTTGAAGAAAAAATAATAACAAAATAATGACTTTATTATTTAGACACTTGGGCAAACAGATAAGGTCAAAACATATCGGCGTGCATTCGTTGCGGGTTTGGAAACACGAAAGCTACTTAAATATTATTGCTTTTAATTTTTACTTTGTAGTATGGTAGTATGATTCAACATTTTATAGATGTCTATTGAATTATTATTATTTTATCCACAATAATTCTGATTGTTGTTCAAAGGATCCGACCTCATTTTATTATTATTTTTCACTGTTAACGATATATATTGTTTATTAGCTTAAAATGATATAGGCATTATTACTATGCATTGAAAAAAAAATATTCTTTGTGTTTATACACGTGTTGACATGACATAATATAAATCATCTGTTGATAATCCCGGCATCATCAACCTAAATCATTATAATATATTATATTGTACAGAAAATAAAAAAAAAATAGGTATTGAAATTCGTAATGGGATCAAAAACTTATTTATTTTCTATGATATATAACGTTAATCATAAAAACACCTAGAATCGGTGTCTTCGACTTGAAATATTTGAAAATAAAATTCATAGCAATGACAGTATACATAAAACGCATGGAAATGTTATTGCTACATAGGTATGTAGACATGCAGTAAAATGAAAATGCAATATGCATATTAAGTTGTACTTAGTGTTTGATAATAATCATTATTATACAATATATAGTCGACATTTAACTCTAAAAATAAGCATGAGAAAATTATTAAATATGTATTTCATACTGTAATCAACTAAACGTTTCAATTAATATTATATGATACAACATTATGCAATAATAGGCACTAGAAACGGTAGAAATTTTAATCTAATAATCTTCTTTGATGGTATTAGAAATAAAATAATGTAAAAGACATTACCGAATCTAAGTAAAAAAAAAAACCGTAAAAATAAATTACAAGAGTAATAATAATAATTACTGGCATTGTTTTTGAGTCAATTAGCCAAAATACTAAACATAAAAGAACAGTGATAGTGTACGTGACACTGACCTCGGCACCCGTAACGTAAAAATAAATTTTACAAGTAATGTGGGGGATGTACAAAATTTTGATATGGAGGTTACAAATTTGTATAAATATCTTACAATTATTACTGGAGCTAAATTTTAAATATGCGGGTACCAGCGTAACGATTGACATACCTATTATATATTTATTTATAATATTGTTAGTGTTATCGAAAATACGATGACACATCAGTTGTTGAGTTAACGAGCACTATCAAATATTTAATCCTTATTAAATTTATCTCGGTCAAAAGTCGAAATTATTATTATTATTATTTAGCTATAACTTATAAGTAATCATTTATCACCTATCATTAAAATAACGATAGTCTTTTGTCATGTACAATTTAAACATTTGAGTATATATATTACAATTGGTAACATAACTATATTATTTTCTGAAATAAAAGTTTATTTGTATTTAAAATATTTTGTTGTACCACTTATTATTATTGATAAATATATATTAAAAATGTAAAATCATTAACCACCAACATTAAATATTAATTCAAAGTTTTAGATTATAAATTTATATTTGTATAATGATAAATACATCAAACATATTATATTATTTATTTTTAATTTAATTTTAATGCCACTATAATATTCTTGAAAAATCAATGGAATGCCCGATATCAGGCAATTATTGCTTATTTTTACTTTTTAAATGAATTATAATTTATTGTAATTAATAAACAGTAATAGAAAATCACAACGGATGGCTCTAACAAGTATTTTTAAGGTAAGTATTTTGTTGATTAGTAGCGTAGGTACTAGATAGTGGTATATAATGAAACGTAATAAACTTATACATTTTTAGTTATGTGTATCTATTTTAAAAATCTCACATCACGTTTTAGACGAAACAAATCGCTTAAATTATCAACACTGAGATAGTTCTGGTTAAAAATTTGATCAAATTAGTATTTAAGGTGGTCTAAATTAGTCAAGATTATTCCTTTCTTCAAACAATTTTAGTTTTGTTGCAATCAAAAAATATTAACTAAATGAAATATGAAATTTTTCACTTTTTTATATAACATCATTATTTTAACAGTGAAATTTTCAAAATATTTACACTATTTTTAAACAATCATTTTATAGTTCATACCATCAATCTATTCACACCATTCTTCGGTATTCCGATATTTATGAATAACTCCATGCATTTTTTGGTAAAAATTAGTAAATTTTCACGAATTAAGAAAATACTTAAGCAATATTGCGATGATATAAATATATTAATAGATATTTACTAATTACTAGGTATCTGTTAAACTAGATGCCGATCCATCCACCTTTTTCGATCATTTTTTACATACAATATTAATTAAAATTTCTAAATTGATTACTGTCCTACTCAATGATAAAATACTCTCAGAATCTAATATACAGCAGAGCGAGTTCTCCAATCTTTTATATTAAGTTTATCAGTTTCAAGAGGAAAATGGAAATATTTGTTTTTAAATTTACAGTCAAAAAACACTTGTCGGTATACAAAAAATTGATGAAATATTGATGACTAATGTAAATTTCAAATGATGTACGTAATAAAACTACATGAACGCGCCATCGTATAAAAATATCATTAGTATAACTACGAATTAAATAAAAATCAACATATTATACAGTAATTTATTTGGTGAATGAAAAATATGTTAGGTATTTCACTTAAAAGAGGAATTCCTTCACGATTTCTAATAACACACCCCTGCGGCAAGGAATGTTTCTTTACAATAAGTGTATTGTCCAATCGAGTTTTTATACCATAAATCCTTTGTTATACATTTCGTATTTTTCAACCCCTATCTAGGATTTTATCGAGAATAATTTTTATTTTCCGATAGAGTTAGGTTTTGAATTTTTAGACTATACATTAAACAATGCATGTTAGGCAAAAATATGGCGAAATCTGTTGATACTATTTAAATTATTACGGTGCTGTATAAAATAATAACTGTTAAAATAGTTATAAAATTAGTATATTTTTTGAGGATAGGTTATTTACTGATAATTTAGTTGAAAAAATATAATAAAACAATAAAATAGTAAAAATGATGATATATACCTAATATTAATCACTAAATAAATATTTTCGTCAACACTCCAATATTTCAATTATTTTTGTCAAAATGTCAATTATTATTTGTATCCATATTTCATTTATTAAGTTATTATCATATAGTGGTACGCCATCGCATGTTATTTATTGGCAATATAGTAATTTTCCTAGAAGTAGGAATAAATACTATAAAATAATTCTTTTAAGTGTAGGATAATAAAACGTATTGTTATTGAAATTAATCATTTTACACATTAGTCTTCGAATTCCGTAGGTAATATAAAATAATGGGATCGGCCTGAATGACTCATCGCGAACCGAGGTGGAAGCCTTTTCGCATCGACCGATCGATCACAAAACTACGTACACACCCATTCATACTAAAATCTGCTACAAAAACATAATTTCCTTTAGCACTTCACTTTTCGAGAATGCGAACGACTGGCAACATGATAACGAGTTTTGAGAAAAGCAGTTGAAACAAGAAGTTTTTTTTTTTGAAAAGACAGAGCGAAATAAAGGGTGACATAAAGCTAATCGTCGGGTTATAGACTTAGGTGGTATCGGTGGTTAGGGAGTAGATGTGAGGAATAACGCGTCGAAAGGGTGGCGACTTGTAAACCACCGTTGCACACTAATGTTGTCTGCTGTTATAAAGTACGATATAACACTAGACTTGTTGATCCCTTGGCGATATTATGATAACGAGCGCATGTGTGCGAGCCAAGACGGGCGACAAAGGCAGTGTATAACCGTCGAACCCGTCGCCGCCGTTGAAACCGATCGCAACATGTGTTCGTGTCGTCAGCGGCGGACGCGGCGTTGCCAGGTTTGGTCAAAACATCCCTACTGTGGCACCACCGCGAGCCAAGCCCCATACATACATGTATAATATGATAATACTAAATACAATACACGCCCATAACGTCCGTTTGCAAATAAATGCGAGTCGTACATTATTTTGTTGCAAGTCCCAAAACGATTTCGTTTACGAGTACATCCCAATTATTACGATACAAAAGAAACCGGATTTTGTTTGAATAGGTACTATAAGAATTTATTTCGTCATTCGGCAAAAAAGATTTTGACTCTCGATGACGTAAATATAAATGTCTAATTTTACAACGAAACCTCTTGGCGAATAATTTATTTTTCTGTTTTACCCCGACGATCGTTTCGAACGTCATAAAATTTACGATTCTCTCTTCTCCGGCGGTTTTTTTTATAAATATTTATTATTGATTTATTTTTTTTATCGTTATTCTATTATTTTTAAAACACGTGGTTGATCCGCACATAATAGAATTATTTATTTATTACGTGGTGATTTTATAGCTCCACGATAGAACTACAGGAGAATAAAATTGTAATTCATAAGTACCTATAGCAAACAATACTCGTCGATAAAAAAAGAACCGCGACTACGATTAATGATAGCCACCCAAGTTTTCGCCTACTAGGCCAAAACAGATACTAACCGTATCCGGTACGCACGGTGTTAGGAAAAATGGAATGCTACTCTATCGCATTCTATGGCAGCAAAAGTGGTAGGAGAGAGGGTAAGATTTCCACTACGTCGAAATAGAAAAAAAAACCATCGAGACAATATGCGATTGAACATACTATTTTACATCACTAAAAAACGAATATCCCGGGGAATTGCATTTTAAACATTTGCTTGCTTTATTCATAGCCGGGTCGGGGGTTAGTGACTGTTGGTAAATGAAGGACAAGCGGGTGGAGGACGTTACGTTTTCGCGAGTGTTAGGTCAGTCACATTCAACGGGTTTTCGGGGGAACGAACAAGTAGTAAAATACGCCTTCGCATGAACAAGCGCACACACACGCTCTAAAATTATTACATAATATAATATATATTTATATACATTGTTGAGTTGTAGTTTTTGTCTTTCGATAGTGTTCAGACGGTGGCGTGCGCGTCTCAGCCAAGGTTATCCAATTCCCTTTTCACTAAGCTATTATTATTTTATTTTGTTCGTTCTGGTAATTGAACAAAATCCGACCGTTAAAAACTCGGTCGAGTTTACATACGTAGATAATATTCAAATGACTCGATCATCATTTCGTCGTCCTACAAACGAGTCGGTGGTAATAATAACTTTAATTTTTTTCGTAGAACCACCGCAACAACAGGCAACAATTCTGAAAATTCCGTTATTTTCTATTTCCGTGATGGTCGGGTAACACAAACAACCAATTATTTATTTTTTTATGTTTTCGATATTAATCTGTCATCATTGAATACTACGATATAGGTATATACATATCTATTTTTTTACTGTTTGAAGAGCTGTTATGCGTTTGAGCGTACAAATCGAATGTACAATATGACAGATTTTTGAATACCTTGATGGTTATGGTTATCAATAATAAGTATTAGTAGTAATAGAAAAAATAAATCAAGTGTTATTTGTTAATTGTGGAAATTGAAAATAATTTAACAATATTTGATCGTCCATATGTTTCGTTTCGTTTTCTCGCTAATATCCCGCCCGTCCGACAACTATTGTTATGCGCGAACTCGACGAAACGCAACACGTTGTCGACTCAATGACTGTCGAACAACGGAATACCTAACCCCAGTGTTTCCACCCGATGGACGAGTCTACTGCGGGTCCGATTACCGTGGAGAACTATCGCGGTGAAAAGGGGAGAAAAAACCCGCCCGAGACGTACGCATTTAATCCCCGTTCGGTGTTTGTGTACACACGAACGGCGGACGAATAGAAAAGAGAATATTAATAATTATAATAGCAACGACAATGTATAAAAGAGATTCGGACACAAATAAACAGGTGGGAACGGCGGGACAGCTGCTACCTATGTACGTCAATCCCGATTCGGGAGGGGTCCTATTACCGTAGCCGCCGCGAGTAACGATTTATGGCCGAAAAGACGAATCGCCGCCGCTTCGTAACACTCGTGCGAAAACTAACGCAGAACATTATTATTTATGGTAATCGTTTGTCCTCGTTCGTGGACTTAAGACCTTAGCGAGGGATTACGACTAACAGGTAGCCGGTAGATACGAGCTGACGTGATATTATATCTATCTAACCGCTCGACAACGAATGCAGGGGCATCGGCGATCGATGAAAAATAAATCGTGGGATAACAACAGGTTAACGTCGTCTTACGTACAAGTTGTTGCATTTGGAACACTAATAATCATTCCACAGGGTTATGAGAAGGTTGCTAAATAACGTTATTCGGAGCAAAAAAAAAGAAAGAAAAACGCCCAGGGCGGCGGCAACACCCTTACACAATTTTCTACCCAATAACAACTATTCTGTTCTTATTTTGTGTTCGACGACCAAACAAAAACAATCGCGGTAAAACACACAATGAATGGTAATATTAAAAAATATTACTATGTCCGCGGAGATCTATTTTTACACACCAACTAGAGAGGGAGTGCGCCCAAACCGTTACACACCACCATATGTTAGAATCGGCATTACGTCGGCGATGGATTGTTAGTACAAAAATCGGACGACTGATACTCACAGGGGTAAAAAAAAAAATGTAAAACTATAAAGTTTTGAAAAAAGATAACTCACCACGCCTTTACCCTGATCACGACTTCACCCTCGCCCATGGTCGGTTCGGGTTTCTTCAGGATCTTGACGGACTTGAGGCCGCCGAATCCGGTGAGCACGACGGCTCTCATCTCGGCCTTCGGTGGTTCCTCGACGGCGGCTGCCGCAGCTTTGCCGTTGCCCTCAGCTTTTGGCTGTTCAACAGCGGTCTCGGTGGCCGGTTTCTCCTGTGCCTGGTCGTTTACGGCCGCTGCTGCTGCCGCTACTGGTGCATTTTCCTCAGCCATATTATTATCGTTGGTCGTAGATGATTTTTAAAATTTCGAAAATTTGTACGAGTGAAAACCCTCGTTGATATATCGTTGTCAGAAAAAAAAATGATACGAAACGCTAAATCGTCGATTGTTTGTAACCGGCGTACGAGCGGGATTTCGTATGCAAGTGAGTGACGGTTGAAATAACGACTGACTGAGTCCGCGTTACAACGATGAGTGCCGAGTGGATCGAGAACGTTATGTACGTATTGGCGCCGACAGCGTTGCCGAAAGAATACGGAGCGCGGATTGTGGTAGTGGTGGCGGCGGCGGCGGCGGCGGCGTCGATGATTCGTCCGGCGGCAGTGGTGCTGAGTGCTGTCGGGGCCGGGTGGCGGCAGTAAGTTTTACGCCACCCTCTCGTGCAATAAAATTCCTACTCTTCTATAATATTCTATACACGTCCTGGGAGCCGCAGTGTGGCCACGTGACCGTTGTGTAGTTACCGTACGGTGACGGGGTACCGAAATACGATAATTATGCGGTCGGCCGGCCGGCGAAACGGAAGTTCGTTATTACTTATTACCGCGCGACGTTTGGGCGTGCACTGCACACATAAGTTTGGCGCCTGCCATCGCCCATGTCCTATAGTAATATTCAGTATTGTCGGTTCCGTCTCATAAAATGATGTCCGAGATTTTGCATTAAGCTTTTTTTCATTTCAAAATTCGATACCGAAGAACCCCCAACAATAGTATACCTACATTGAACACAACTTTTACAATTATTTTTCCTTTCAATACAATCGTTTTCGATGAGTGCCCATGAAAAAAAATAACCAAATATATTTCGTATCAGACCGTAATATAATTTATAATACCACTTAAAGTGGAAAAAACTGTATCTATGTAGGTATACAATTATATTTTTAGTATTAATAGTCTGAGTTTTTATCAATAAATTTATATGATATTTCATGATCATTATCAACAGCACTTAAGGGTCCATTAGGAACCTGCGTTACCACTAATAAGTCTTTAATTTTATGTTTAATTTACATTCTTCTTTAAGGATAATTTTATTTTATTTTCGTCGAGTTTATGAGCCAATGTCAACTGCTAGTTACGAGCCGAAGTAGTTGTGATATCTTCCCACTCTCTTACTCAGCAATAAGTATACTTGATAAATGTATTCGACATTTCAAAATCTAGTCGGTAGTTTTAAAGGCTTATAACTTCCTACCCCTCCTCTATGTATTTTTTAAAGATCGTCCATGACAACTGTCCACATACTAACATTATTTTATTATGTACAGTCTTATAGAAGATATACGAAGATACATCATACATGATTATTTTTAAATATTTAAGTTTTGGCGATAAACTTACAAGCTATACCTGCCTTATTTGTGTAGCATAAAATCAGTGATATGTTGATATAAAAATATAGTTTGATGGATTACGTACATTATAAAATATAAGCTAAATTTATAACTATTCACACGTAAGGATAGAGTAAGAGTAAAATAACGTTGAATCATTTAAATTTAAAGTTTTATAATATAGACTATAAATATTATAATAACAAAAAATTATTACATCAATAGGTATAGAAATTATACACAGTTGATGGGTAAACACGAACTGCTTTATTTTATACTTGAGAATTTGAATTTATGTTAAATAATCAATAGTATTATATTATACATAGCATTAAATTGTTTTTGCATACTAGATCGTACATAGTTATATAACTTTAATCATATTTCAATTATTTTTAATTCGGTGATATTAAATGTTGAATTTAAATTAGGTACTTTCATTTAAATTAAATTTTATAATCAAACAAATAGTAAAAATTATATAGTTATTTCATTTTAATTAAAAACAGAATTCATTAACCATAGACAATTTTATGATTGACACATAATATATCAAACATATTAAATATACTCTTATTTCTTCATAAGTTATTCATTAAACTTGTTGAAATTATCGAAGTAATTACAAATGTTTAAATTAAATTACTAAAAATAATCTATAGCAGCAAAACTCTATGCATAAAACTACACAAAGATCGTCAGTATTCAGTAAAATATTTTTGTATTTTATATTTTATTTGCCCATTAATGAACTAAAAAAAAATATTTACTTTATCATCCTAACTATCGTATGTATACTTAAATACTTAAATTATTGGGATATCAATGATCTTATATAGGTAACTATTTTATTACATGGTCAGCACGTGGCGTAACGATAGCAACAGGCTTTTATTTTTAGTCCTTATAAAACGTCAGTTGAATAGTCCTCAAATACAGAATATTAAAGAAAATCAATATACATGAAACTTAAACAGACAGAAGAACATCGTTGTTAGTGATAATAATGTCTTAGTCAAATTCCTGTATAAATAAAAAAAACTGTAGTATATATTTTGATGAACTTGAATAGTTTTATATACATAATATGTAATTCGATAATGTAACCAACAAAATACAATTTAAAATTACATTACACTATTATCATTTATTAGTATTATGTAACTTACCTAATGGTTATAAGTTATAACTTATATGAATTACATTTTTGATTATTTCATGCTATAACAATAATATTAATATATTAAAAATCGTAGGAATTAAAATGAATCGACTTAACTCTAATATCTAGGTAGCTGTTGCTAGTTACCGTGTATATCTAATATATAACGTACAAACATGGAAATATTGTTTTATATGTTTATTTTCGATGATATAAATTGAAAAATATATAAATTAAAAATATTATAAATATTTTGCACACAGTAAATTTGTTTAGGTTAACAGAACACAATTACCGGCGTACCTAGGATATTTTTCAATATTTGGGCCTCAGTCATCTGGGAAAATTAACGTTTAAAACAATATTACGTGTTATTATGAGTTGTGAGTGAAATATTTAAAATTCTTTTTGATCTAATGAAAACAACTACTTTAATATACACATTTTATATAAATATTATCTAAGTATGGTTTTATATATTGATATATACAGCAAGTTAAGTCTGAACGAATATTTTTAAAACTTAAAAAAAAAAATTAACTTTGATGTTTGATAATCTAGCAATATCTGAATTTTTTATTTCGACGAGTATTAATCTAATTCTGAGTAGATAGAGAGTGTAGAACTGCAGCATTTATCCTCTGTAAAATGCTAGGAACTCTACCCGTATTTATACGAGTCCTAGGAGTGACAGAAATATAAAATATTAACTATAGTAATAAATTTTCTTTGATCGTTAATATTTTATGCACCCATCTACTCAATAGTTAATATTGGAATTAAGTATCTATAGTTTGCACATACGCTGTATATTATATGTACTGACTATAATAATACACAGTTATGTATTGAACAAAGTAATGACTATATTTTAGGTTTACTACAACCGGACGTCGATTTAGTTTGATGTTTAAATCAGAATATGAAATATCTACACGATGAAATGCAAAGCTTCAAATTACGTACGTTAACTATTTATTTGTATACTCGTATTTTTTAATATATTTTTATACACTAATACGTCACGTAATATTTTGAAAATAGAGAGAAATAAATTGTAAAAAAATCATATTTCTTTGAATGTACAAGAAAGTAGCTACTATAATTACTACAATATTGCTTAATATGTTTATATATAATGTATGCGTAATGCGTTAATTTATGAATCTGTAGTATCATCATCAGCAGGTACAACTAAAGTATCTGGTTCTCGAGTTGAGTCCAACGCTTTGTGTAATTTTTCTAATTCCAACATTTGCGTAGTGTAATGTTTACCTTTTTTCGGTGGTTTCATTATCAATCGAAGGTTAGGTGACATTTTTAATGCGACGACCGTACTTCTAAAATGCAAATAAAATTTGCTTATTAAAATATTTAAGCGGATAATATTTACTAATAATAAAGTTAAATGAGTGATTACTTTGAACTACCAACAATTATTACAGGCATCCGCCAATTAAATGCCAACTTAGTAAGCTGGTATTGATTTTCAGGTTGTATAGGTTGACAGCAAATATTCTTATACTTATCTGCGTCTAAGTCATAAAATACTACATTACAATCTTCGGTGATGACTCCAAAAACTGTACTTGAAAACGGTGACCAAAGAGCATCAGACACACTCCATAGGAGATCAAATATCAAAAGTGGTATACTATTATGAATTAAAAAAACAAAAATTTAGATTACAAATATTAAATTGATAAATATAAAATAACGTTTTTAATTTATAATAAATCTTGAAGATCACATAACAACTTTTATATTTTGTATATAAAATGAACAGTATAAATGTACGAGTATAATATATAATATTGATAAGTTAAGTAAAAGTTAGTCATATATTATATTATATAATATTCAAGCATACATTTATTATTCACCGACAAATTTAAGTTTATGTTAAATTGTTACTTAATTTAAAGTTTAACTAAAATTAGTAGGTATACACATAGCACATTAGTTGTAACAAATACTGTGTGCAAACTATAGTTTGCAGTAAATATTTTTATTGTCATTTAATTCCTAAAAACTGTTTTATGTTGATTTAAAATAAATTTTTATAAATTTAGTTTTTAATAAAAAAAATAATCATACTTACTCAGATTTATCCTCCCATATTTTAACTGTACAATCACCGCTACATGATAAATAAATGTTTGGATCATATTTATTATAATCAATTCTATAAATTGACATTTCGTGAGCTTTAAATTTTTGCATAAAAAATGAGCTCCATTCTGTGTTACATTTAAATATATAGCCTTCATTGGTTCCAACCAAATATATTCCACTTTTTTCGGGATGAAAAGCAATTGTTGTGCCTCTACCTAAAAACAATTAGAAGTACTTATTGCTTTTTATGATATGAAACATAAAATATTTCAATATCCTGTGAGGTAAATAGTTTACCAATTAATGTTTCGCTAATTCCACCAAGTGTTATTTGAGGTTCAATGTCTAAAACTAATGTAACTATAATGGTCTTTGACATTTCACTTTGCATTAGTAACCAATTACAAACAGTTCCATCTTCAGATATAGAATAAAAATTTAATTCACCATCGGGCAAATCTTTTACCCAAACTACCTAAATAATAAACCACAATAACTTATAATAAGTATACAAGTATACAATAATATAATGTGAATTTTTAATAAGTATTAAATATTTTAATGTAATTATAAAAAACCCACTAATTTTTATCAAATATGCTATATATTACTATATATTAAATGCAGTTAATATATATAAAATATAATTAAAATAAAATATACATACTAAATATTTATTTTAAACTATTTTTAAGTTATAAGTTAATGCTGACGAACAACAGCATGAATAGATTTGTGATATATGGTATAAATAGTTTAAAACTAATCTAAATATTTTGAAAATTGTATTTTATTGTGTATAGTAAATAATATCAATAATAATATAGGTAGTGGTAGAAATTTTAAAATCTCTACAAATAATAATTTTTAAATTACTGCTAATATCTATAAATTATTAAAATAACTATTTTTTTAATTTTGTAAAAATTTAAAATCAAAATAATATCTATAATATACATTATGCTGCATACGTATTTTTAAAGTTTTATAGATTTCTGTAAGAATAATTTATGACTCGTGTAGGTTATGAGGAACCTTGTATAATATTTTCAAGTCTTACTTTTATTTGTTCAAGTTCAAATTTTATAAATTTTTAACTATTTTTTTTTTCTTTGGACAAATATAAAATTAACACAGTATTTTTTTTTTTTTATTTAAAATTATATAAAAATCTATATTTATTCAAACATCTTAAATGCCTTTATATTTTTTTATTAATCTAAATATTTTGAAAAATTGTTTATGAATACAAAAGGATAATTTAAGTTATTGTGAAATGTTTCAAATTTCAATGATTAATAATATTGTGTTATACATCAAATTAACTAAAATGGTTAAAAGGTAAATCACATTTTTAAGTATGAATATTAATAATGTCAAATTTGAAACTTTAATTGCACATAAAAAATAATGTTTGCAAATTTACGCTTAACTTAAATTCTCAGTAAATAAACCTTAAAAGGAATGTTATATTACTTGTTTAACATTTTAAAATCTTTGATGTAAAAATTAAAAATAGTATTTTGAATTACAAATTAATTCACACATATTTTTGAATTTTTTGAATTTGTTTAAACACTAAAATAGATTGTAACTAAAGGTATTTTTAATAATTTTTAATTGCTGTAATATTTTAAAGTTTTTATTAACAAACAAAAATGTTATCATTCATAAATTTATGATTTAACATAAATTAATTAATAATTAATTGTTATTTAATATAATATGTATATTAAGTTTTGTAATCTTTAAAACTGTCATTGAACTGAGAACTCCGATAGAACTTCCCATCATAAGCTTTATGCTTATAAAGGCTTGTAAATAAAATTATTGTATTTCTTAATTTTATTTTAACTATCTTCATATTATATTTGATTTTTTTATTTAAAATTATTAATATTTAAACTATAAATTGAATAAAAATCAAACATCACAAGTTATTCTTTTTTAAGTATTACAAAAAATTAGATAAAACTGATAATAAAAATTCCCATTTTCCTTATTTATTTTTTAGATTTTCCCGACTATTTTGATTTAGAATTTTTACTTTTATTCCACTGTAGTAAATTATTAAAAAATTAATAGATTCGTCTTTCCGTTTAAGATCTAAAATTTAATTAGATATACCACAATTAAAAAGAAATTAGAATTAAAAATACATAAAAACTCACCTGTCTTACACAAGCCATATGTTTAGTATTTACTGAGTCTGTCATATATTGAGGTTCTTTTGTTGGCAAGCTAACATTATATACAGCCAAATGACCGTCATGAAATCCAACAGCCAGGAGAAATCCGTGATTTCGATGAAAGTCTAAACACATCGCTCCACAATGCGTCTGGTTTATATATTCGGGATATGATGGATTTTTTAAAGACCATAAGCATACATAACCCACATCTGGACTTTCAGTTAATGGTAAATGCCCTTGAGCTATTATAAAATAGATATATTTCATACAAAAGCGAGGATACTGTTTTGCCTTGGCCCTAAGGGTGAATGGGCTGATATCACATATATAATTATCAATTAATAATTATTATACATTAAACTTTTGAAACAAACAAACAAAAAAATAAATAATTTATAGAAGTAAAAAATAAAATAACTTATTTGGAAAATTAGGTAAATTAATATTCCTTTATAATATGACAAATTAACAAAGTTAATATGAATGAAAATATTAGTTTTCGTCTTACTTTATTTAAGGAATTTAAAAAATTTTTAAATCTCTAATAAATTTAATTGAATAAATTTAAGTGACATATTTATGCTTAATAAATAAATTATATTCAAATTGGAAAAAAAAAGTTTACTTGATTAAATATTTTTTATTAATTTTTTTTTTAGGTTTAAGTAATCATTTGTAAATGTAATACTCACAAGTTCCTAATGTAACAGCAAACATGTCAAAGTAATCTGGGCTCCAACTTATATCAGTCACATATAAATTGTCAGCTTTGTCATATGTCATTGTCCATAATGGGAGTACTGTTCCATCTCTACCCCTAAATTGATCAGATGGATCCTCATAGTATCGGAAATCTAAAAGTAATATGGTTATTGGTTATAGTACCAAAAAATATAACTCTCTATAAACTATAAATTATAGTTATCTTTGTATAAATTTGTATTGTAGTTTTACTAGTAATAAGTAAATTAAACTTATCAATATTAAATAAAAACTCATAAATTAAATTTACAAAATCAATGTCATTGAAAAAAATCAATTATAAATTATAATTTTATGTAGTTTAATACATTTTTTATACCTTGTGCAATAGCATCCATTGTATTTAAATTGATAATTCTTTCCAGAAATTTAGCAGTGATTAACATATTTTTTTCAGTTTGATCTTCAGTTACATAATTTTTTTTTTTTTTACTACCACTCTTTTTACTTGCATGAACAGCTATTTTATCTCTTTTTTCTTTTTCTTTTTCTTCTTGTTGCTTCAAGAAATCTTCGTTATAAGCATCATAAATAATCCATTGTGTTGCATATGTACAAAAATCATTTTTTGTTGGTGGTGTAGTTTGAACTTCTTTATCCTTAAATATAGGTACGATTATTATAATTTAATATAGTAAAAGTATAATGATTATAAAGTACTCTTAAAATGATTTCTTCTGTAAGTGCGCATCTCTCGAAGAAATTAAATTGATTCATAAGTTTTTTTGGTGCATTTCTTTTTTTTGCTGATGAGTTTATATCATTGTTAGTAGATTCATCTTGTACAACTACTGGTGCTTCTTCGTCTGAGTCCGATGTTGCTTTAGGTTTTGAAGTTTTTTCCTCGTCAATTTCTTCTCCTCCTTCTCCTTGGTCACCTTCTTCACTAGGTAAATCTCCCTCAGCTTCACTTTCTTCTTCATCCACTTCATCTTGTACTCGTTCATCAACATTTTCATCTGTGTCAACCTCAACGTCTTCATTGTTATGGTTAATTTTTTCTTTTACTTCTTCAAGTGCAGTTTCTTTGTCATTGTCTGTAAAGCATTCTTCTGTTTCTACAATAATTAAATAATATTAACTATTATATGCTTAAGACTATAGTTGTGACTAACCGACTTTACCCGCCTAAAAGCTCTAGGCATATTTTTAAATAAACTAAAAAAATTGAAGATAGATCCAACGTATGATTAAATGCTAACGTAAATCCAATATTGTTACGTTAAGATTGGAATTTTTCTTTACGCGTGATTTATAAAAAAAATATGTTTATTCGTAATTAAAAAAACAAATCATAAAATTAACTATTGCAATTGTGTTTTGTGTTCATAAGTATTTGATTTTAAGATTTATTTTTTGTTTTTAAAATATTTGTATAGCATATTTCCAATGTAAGTTGTAACCAATGATAACTATTAAAATAAACAAAAAATATATTCGATTTTTACATGAAATATCTAAACTCATGTATGAGTTACTCTATTCAGTAACCTATAGAAATTAAAAGTTGAACAAACAATTCATAAACATTTTTCAAGTATTAAGAAATCTATTGGTATAATTTTTATTAAAAATGGTCCGGTAATTTTTAAGTCTATAAATTACAAACAATGAAACAACTATTTTTATTTACAAAAATAAATATATAAAATTATAGATTTGTGACTGTACGTCTGTATGAATATACGAAATAAGTATTTATGTTTATAAAGTATACTTGGGTGGGCACTTGGCAGTCAGTAAATGATACACAAATATACTATAGAGTGAAATAATCTACCATAAAGTATCGATTTCAATATTTTTTAATTTACTATAAATTAGCGTAGACTTTAAATCAATCAATGTGATAAACGGAAGAATATTTTTAAATGGTACAAATGATCCGTCTCTATAACTATATGATACTCGAGCAGTTAATTCCGGTGATTCTGTGGCTTGTAAAACGTTACTTATTGCTTCATCCAATTCCTAAAATATAACAGAAATATGTTTTAAATTTAAATAAAAATAGTATTATCTCTTATAGTTTAAGTGTTCGCTGTACATGTATATTGCAGAGTTCGTCCTCCCCCCCCTTCTTCCATTTACAATATATTGGTCCAGGGACGCCATTGAATATGGCCTATGGAATGTGGCATAGCATTCAACGGAAATAGAACATAATAAAACTATTTATGCTATATATTATATTTAATATGTAAACTTCAATGTCCATCATTTAATATGTCAATATAATATATACCATATAGAAACAAAATAATATAATATATTGGTTATTATGTTATTTTATCTTAGCATATTGCCATTAAATAATGTATTTTTTAATCATATAGTTTTTATAAATAGGTATTTCATGTTTGTAGAACTTTATTTATTAAAATATGGCATATTTTATACTGTTATTTGTCAATAGGCAAATAATATTAAAATTATTATAATTTACTTAATCTCTAATCGGTCTGTATCTATTTTTTTTATTATAAAAATATTTTTCATTTTTTTTTTTTAATCAAATAGGGCATATATAAATAACATACATATGTATAATGATTTAAAAAAAAAATGAAATTCCTTATTTTATTGTATTTAACATTCATCAGATAATAATTAATACGACCACAAATTATTAAGGAATGTAATCTATTTCCGGAGTATTAATAGAAATCAATTATTATTATTATTATTAATTTATACGAGATATTTTAAGTATAAAGTAATTGCCCTTTTATAATACTAGTTTTAAAAATGTAAAATATGTTTAGTATATAACTACCTACTATTTAAGTCCAATTAATTGTAACTTATAGCCGAATAATTTTATTATTTTATAATTAAAGTAAATACATCGTTGTTATAGAATACATGCAATTATAACATAAGCAATAAGAACATGACGAATTATTAAAGTAGTATATAAAATGTTTTTTGTATAATTAGATAAAAATTTTAAATATATAAATTAAATTTATGTTTATTTAGATAATATTATAATTAATAAGATTAAATAGATGCGTAAATTAGAAGAGTATTAGAATATAATCAGAAATCAGTATAGAATATAATCTAATAATGTAATATAGAAGGTCCCTAATATATATATATATATATATATATATATTTAATGATGTATTTTCTACTTAATACATTTTTTTTCTCGAAAATTGATTATATTTGCCATTTTAATTGTCTTGAAATAATATTTAAAAATAAATTTATAATAAAATAAAATATATATAACTAAATTATTGGTCTATGAAAAGTATAGTACTTCTTCAGTTAATTTTAATTGATCGTCTGGCTTAATAGATTCATTTGATGAAACTCCGTTAATATCGTCCACAGGTTTAGCAATCTTTACCTGGCGTCTCGAAGGTTCTTTGTTGAATGGTTTTTTCTGACCTGATTGAGACTAGATCACACAAATATAAACGTAATTTATAAACAACGTGTAAATAATAAGTTCAATTTTACCTTACTAATGATAGTCTTGTAGCTCTTTTAGCTGTTTGATCTAATTTTGGAGGCATTATTTTTATTTAATTAAAATTAATTATTAAAGTGATAAAATTAAAACACTATACCTTCATTAGGTATCTATTAATTAAATATATTTTTTTAACCAAAACTATATAAGCACTGGCTTGTAAGTAGAAATGCAATATAGTTTGTATAACCATAGAAACTATATTTATTGATTTAACTTATGGTAGTATTATTTAAGTTTTTCAGCATAAAAAGGTATATATACATACAATTTTACAATATATAAGATATAATAAATTAAATTGATACTTAATAATATATTTACTGTAGAGATGAATGTTACACATAGATAGATATAAGATAGGTAGTGATATACCTAATAGCTTGACTTTTGACTTTCGTATAAATAAATTTTTCACCTTACGTAAAATTATTGTTTCATTTCTGTTTTTTAAACATGAGTTATAAATACATAAGTTTACCATTCAATACACAAAAAACAAATTTATCTACTAAATTATCAATTTACAATTTTAATTCTGAGTTTTTTTTTTAGTTAATTTATTGATATTATATTTTTAAAAGCATACTTTTCGTTATTTGTAACATTTAGTAAGGTCATCATAGTCTTCAACTATTGTCATATTAAGTAATACATTTAATATAATACTGTTAAAGTATATAATTAATTATTATTCAATTAATTAAATAGCTTTGATAATATCCCCATTTTCATGTTAATAAATAATATATTTATCTATGAAACTATGAAAGTTTAAAGTAAATATAATCAATAATAATTGTATGTAGTATTTTAATCACACATTAATATATACCATCATTATGTTTGCAGGATGTTATGTTATTTGGGTGAATGTCATATGGACGCGTCAGTTTAGCGAAAAAAATCATTAATACAAACGACATTTTGATGCAGCTAATCGATAATTTTTTTTTTTTTTTGAGCAGATATATCTTTATAAACTATCAAGAGTATGCATTATTAAATTTGTCTTTAATATTATATACAGCTATTGTAGAATAAAGTAAACATTTCTTGAAAAATTGTATTCATTTTAATAATTGTTAAAATAGGGTTTTTTTATTTATGATTCATTAAAAAATGATTACGTCTTACCAAAGTTATTTTAATATACATTTTATAATTTAAAATTTTTGACAGAGGCGATGTGTATATTATGATGACTGTAAGAAGGTACCTATTAGTTTTACAATTTATTTTTTTGTGCGTCTATTTTCACCTTTTGATGTAGTAGAAACGAGGATGGTTTCTAGTAGAAAATGAATAGAAGAAAATATAAAAGGCTAGGCCCCTTCAAATATTTCATTATCCCCCCTCCCTCTCAAAAAAGGAGAAAAAAATTGTTAAAAATATAATGTTATATTATAGACTTATTTATAGACACAAATTGATGTTAAATATATTAGCCCCTCTTATAGTGGGCCTCTCAGGAATTTTCTATGGGAGGGGAGGGGGTTGAAAATTTACTAGAATTACCGTTGGCGTTTCCACACAAACTTTTTTCACTGAAGTACGATAACAAAGTATTTTTTTTCTTTTATCTCCCATTGTACTATTTAATTTTATTACAGAAATATAAAACCAAGATATACTTTATTTCAATGATGACGGACGGACGAAAACTGATCGATAATAATCTTCCATTAACCCAACAAACATTATTGAACATTTTACATAATACAATATATTAATTTAGATAATTTTTATATCATGACCGATTACGATTTGTACTTAGGAAAACCTTCTATATATTAAATCGGAGTATACTATAACGCGTACATAATAAAATAATAAATATAACAGGTACAGAATTTTCAATATTGCCACACTAGAAACAGCTAGTACAAACTACAAATGGATTTTAATTAACCGTTTAAGCACACACAAAATCATCATATTATCACAATTCACAATATAGCCAATTATTAAATTGATTTATAAATATTATATTGTGATACCTACTCATACGAAATAGAAAAAAAATACGGCCAATAGTACGCCATTGGCCTCTCTTTTAATTATAATGAATGTTCACTTAAAAATTGGATCTAATATTAAGTAAAATATAAAAATGTTTAATACTTCTAAAAGTAATTAAGAAATACAAAAAAAAAAAATTTAAAAAAACTAGTTTTTTATAAAAACATTTTTATTTTTATTTTTATTGTAATTTACAAATAAATAGCTTGACTTTAATTTACCAGACATAATTTAATTTTTTTTTTGTACAATTTACGTATGTATTTTAAATATTTAAATTTTTTTTATTTGCCTTTATGATGTATGATAAAAAAATTTTTTGTACTTAAAAATACTTGAAAATTATATAATATAAGGTCCTCATAAATCTTACATACGTAAAAAATTATAAAAATATTTTGTTACTTACGTTCTATAAACGTTTGAAGTTCGAATTTTGACAATATTTTTCAAAACCATGAACACAAACAAAAACTATATAGAAGGTATCTACAGGTATAGGTAGTTAAAATTATAGAAAATTTTTAATTTTAATTATTAAGTCTTAAAAAAATAATACAAGAATCTTCATAATAAGTTGTTTTGAAAGCAAAATGAAAATTCAATAAATATATGTGCATAAATTTTTTTCTATTTATTCTGACATTTTAAATTCTAATTTTGATGAAATTACAGGATAAGAAAAAATATATATTTTAATTAGTATAGGTATATTATTGAAATTTAAAAAATACTATTTTTTGGACTTAATATTTTTTGTCACTACCTACCTCTTAGGTGAAGTAAGTAAATTATAATTTAGTATTTACTTAGATAGGTAGGCATCTATTAAACTTTGTGACATTTTGTTGTCGTTAAAATTGCAAAAGCAAATCTGGTCCAACGTTTTTTAGTTAACAAAAATTACTCATAATACTAGAAAAGCAAAATCATAATTCCATACAAAATAGATACATTTATTTAATCACATTCAATACAATTAAATAAAATTATAATATATTAGATATTACGAATTATTCAAGAATAAGCTATGTTACAAACTAAAATAGATCTCATTATTTTCATTGCAAATAAAACACAAATAATGAATATCAAATTAAGAATTAAAATAATATAAGATAATATATTTATAAATAGAGCACACACAATATTATAATATTACGATCAACGGATAATAATATTTTGAAAGCATAGAAATAGATAATAGAAAAAATGAAATATCATTCTTTTTAAGCCCTTCTTTATGACGTCGTTACTATCGTTACATTATCTTAGTTCATGATATGAATCCAAAGAGCTCAGATTTATTCCCGCCAATTTTACTAATGTGATTATTGTTTATCTATTTAAAATGTTTTTACTTTACGCGTAAATATTAAATACTACATAAATTTATTGATAATAAATAATGATACAAAAATATTTTCGGTAGTTCAGACTTCAAATACTTCAATCCTTCAGTGTGCTGTTTGTATACTTAAGCTTAAAAATATTTAATTTTTAGTTTTATTTAATTTTGATTGTTTCCATTCTTGTTTTATTACATTTTCTGCCTCACAAATGAATGGCTTTTTAGACTTATAATATGGATTCTCCGTTTAAAACTCCATCAAAGAAGCCCGCGTCTCAAATGTTACCATCCAGTGATTCATCTTCACCATTTACGCCAAAAAGAAGTAGAATTAAGAAGATAAGTAGTGAAGCATATGATTCTGTTTCCCGGATTTTAGCATTTGATGAATCTAATAGCTGCTCCCCTACTAGAAGGAAACTTGATTTCTTATCATTTAGTCAGAATTCAATGCTACTTAATGAAAATGAACTTATTCAATGTGAACAGACTACGCCTGTTAAAATTGAACCATCAAATTTTGAAAAAAATAAAATTGTATTATCTCCAAGTATTAAAGTTCATCCCAAACGATTTAATATTTCTGAACAAGATATAAATACTATCAAAACACCTTCAAATAAAAGAAGTGGTTCAAATAACTCTACACCATCTAAAAAATTAAAATTATCAAATGTAATCGCGGGTTGTAAAAAAATAACTTCTTTTTTCAAACCCACACAAAAAAAACCAGATTTTATTACTAATAAAGCTGGTAATTATTTCTTGCCAGCCAAGCACAAAATTGGAGAAGAAAATATTAATTCTTCTATTGAAAATAGTAATAAATCTGAAAGACAACTTACTACTCCAATTAAAAATAATAATATTAATAACATTCAAGTTCGATCACCAAAAATAAATAGTATTAGCTCAAGCCATCCAAACGAGCAAAAAACGAGTCCAAGAAGAAAAGTTGTTATGAGTCCACTTTTAAATAAAACAAAAATGAAAGAGTTTAATATTACAGAACAAGTGACTCCGAGCAAAATTGAAAATATAAATAAAAATCCTACGACAAGTCCAAGAATTTTGGATTACCTGGAAAACAAAGTTGTTATTTCTGGTGGTGATACATACAGCAGGTTTATTAAGTTAATTGTTCTTCGACCTGAAATTTTTTTTTTTGGCAAAGACATAATGAAAAAAATTGAAAGTGCTAGTAATGACGAACTTAAAATTTATGGGAGATTGATATCTAGAAAACATGGATGGATTCGTTATAATGGACCTGATGGTCTTCAAAAGTATGAAGAATCAGATATATGTGATAATTTTGATAGTGTTTTAGAATCTTTAGCAACCAAACAATTAATAAATACAGGTATGATTTATACATTTTTTTTGTATTATAATTTATTTTATTCATGATTCATTATAGTTTTTAATTTTCAGATGTTATTTCCTGTGAACTTGATACTCTATTAAATATCCTAAATAACCAAGAATTGAAAGAATTACAGAAGAAATTCAATATTAAATTAAGTTCTAGCAAGAGTCAGACTAAACCTGTAATGATTAAATCATTTATTAACCTTGTAAAAAATCAAAGAACACTTTATGGAAATTCAACTAGTAATTTAAAAGAACAGTTAGTTTAACACTATTATCCATATTATTTTGCATAATTTGCTAATTTATAAATATATTCTAAATGTCATATTTTTATTTCAGTATCAAAAATATGATAGGCTATTGTTTGAAACTATCAGATACATCAAGAAATGATATAATGAGCTGCTTAATCTATGAATCATACCCTTATTTTAGTGGAGAAGAAAAGGACAGATTTCGTGATTGTTTTACTAAATTTTCCTTGGTTGAAAAAAAATTACTAAAATTTCCTAAATTTGAAGCAGAACGAGTTTCAATTAATTTTAGTTCAAAAGATATCTTTGAAATGTAAGTGATTACAAAATAACCACTATTATTGTTTTGCTATTTTTAACAATAACAATATTTAATTTATTAATAAAAGTATTGTATATTAAATAGTTTATCATGTAATTCAAATGTTCAGCTTTATACTTGGAAAATGTGCCTAATTTGTACTAACAGGTTGGACAAATTAAAAACCGATTTAAATGTAGAAAATTAAATATATTTGTAAATCATTTTTGTTTTTAATAGATGAATAGTATTATTATTTTATTTTAAATAGTTGTTTTCAAATTAAAATTAACTATTTTAATTTAATTTTAAAAGTATATTTTTTAATTTGAGTAATATATTTCTATACTTTTTTCCAATTTATGTTTAATATAAAATTAAAATGTAAAAATATTGTTTATTTGTTTTATTTATAGTTTAAAGTTAATATAAGATAATTGATTTTAGGTACAAAAATGCTTTGAATCTTCGCCATGAAGTTCAGTTACTTTTAGAGCAAAAAGATCATGAAAATGCAATTTTAGTATTGCATATTATGTTTGAAAATTTTAAATCAGCTATATGGGATAAATCTAATGTGTAAGTATTTTTTTAATGTATAAAAAACGACTACATTTTATGTTGTTTAATGCAAGGGTTTTCAACCTTTTTTTCCATAGTTTTTTCGATTTTTAAGATAATTTTAACACCTCTCATTTAAATAATAAAATAAAATAAAATTTATTTTTTGCCCCAGATATTGTTTATTTAATAGTAACTGGTAATGCCTCTGAGAACGCGACATAGGTTGAAAACCTCAAATACAGTAGACGCCGCTTATAAGACTCACTTTGGAACCAGCACAAAGTGAGTCTTATAACCGAATGAATCTTATAGGCGAAGTGGAAAAAAAAAAATTAATTACGTATTTATAAATTTTATTTTACTACATATTTTGCTTTGATTTTAATACATTAACACATATTACATATTACATACTTTATTATTGAATAAATTTAATAATCCCGATAAAAAAAAACTAAAATTATAATCGTTATAATTATCGTTGCGATAACAATTATTATACGTTATAACTTATAAGGTACCAACAGAAACTAGAAATAATCAACATGAATATTATTTCATTTTTCAAAACCAATTTATTTTTAAATTATAACCAAAAAAGTTTATTTTCTACTATTTATTTTACGAAATTTGAGTCTTATAACCTAAGTGTTGAGTCTTAAAACCAATTTTTTTTTTAATGTATTTGGATACGTCCGGACCGTTACAGATGATTTTGAGTCTAATAAGCGACTGAACCTTATATCCGTGAGTCTTATAAGCGGCGTCTACTGTATAATATATAATATGTATCTTATAATCAAATTTGTTTTTGTTTTTATATTTTTAGAGAATCTTTATTAAAGATACCTACTTACTTACGAAAATATTCTGCAATTTCTGTGTATGCCCATACATTATTCAAAAATATATCAATATTAAAAAAATGTACCAGTAATACAAACTTGGCCAAAGAAGTGTTGGAATTTTTACTAAGTCATAAGGAATTTTTAATATCTAAACAAGCTGATTTACATATTGAATTAGCCAAAGTTTTTGAATTACAATACAAACAATTAGATTGTGTAAGTATATTTAAATTATTTTAAGTATGAACAAAAACCATTAAGAATATATAGATATTTTTTTATTTTTTTGATTAATTTTGATCAGCTAATCATTTATTTTAATGTAAGAACACTTTCAATGATAAATTACGATATTTGAAAAACAATATAGGTCTATAATAAACATGAAATAATTATATTCCTTCCATTAAACATAAATGATTATAAGTATATCGTATTGTTTTTAGAGTTAGTCAAATGGTGAACTACGAGATGACAGTAATGTTTATTTAATCAAATATCTGTGGAAAAGTTGTTTACACAACTAGAATTATATGAGGTTATTTTAAACGGTATTCTTGTCGTATGCGGTCTACCGTACACTTTTCATCTATCACACATGTTTCTATATGTCATATGCGGTCTACTACACGTCCACACACTTTTTATCTACTAATGATAACTTTCAACGATTTGACGGCAATGACGATTAAGTTTTATCTTAACATTCTTAACGATGTGATTTCTATATCAATAATAAAATACCTGCTATAATAAAACTTGGGCCCTGCCAAAATCATGACTGTAGTCGTAAACGTATAAGATATCAGTTCAGTTTGTGCTGTAATAGGGGTACATACGTGATCCGTTATTCTTCAGTTTATTTACTGCACTTTTTAACATTATCTTAACCAAACATTATGTAGGTATAAAAAGTATGTAATAGACCGCATATGACGCAGTGGCGTAACTGAGGGCCCACAGACCCCACGCTGCGGGGGAGAACATAGTAATTTGGGGCCTTTGGTTATAGGGTTATATTTAGTATAACAATATTTTTGGGGCCTTTTTTTTTATTTTTGCGGGGGAGCCCAAATTTTTTTGCTATGCCACTGATATGATGTATAAAAACATGTGTGGTAGACGGCAAGTGTGCGGTAGACCGCATATGACAAGAATACCTTTTAAACAATGTTATTCTCTAGTATATTATTTTAAATTTCAATTATAATAATGTAAACTTTTTATTTAATAATTACTAAGTATAATAAATTGATTTATCATTATTTTTAATTTTATCTACAAGTCAATTTATAATATTATAACATAATTTGTAGTATCATATATTTTTGTGAGCTTATAAGTTATAAGTAATAATAGTCCAGTATTTGAAAAAAACTATTCTAGCAGAATAAATGTGCTTGAGATATATGTATAATATTATTTCCTTTTTTAAAGTACTTTTTTTAACTCTAACTCCAATTTTTATTCATTAATACTTGACATTTTTTGGTACATTTATTCTCTTTTTATACTAAATAGTATTTATGTAAAAAAAATTTAAATCACTAAATTCTTTAGTTTTTGTTCAAAGTCTAAATATATTTATTTACTTTCAAACTTAAAATTCAGGCAGCAAACGTAATACTTAACGGCCTCAAGGATGACAATATGACCGAATTGGGTCGTCAAATGTTGTCAAAAAGAGCAAAAATGTATGCAAATCGTAAAAAGTTGAATGATGAGTTAAAAAATGAACTATTGAGTATTGCTTCAACGACTGGAAAAGAACCACCTAGTATAACAATAAGTGGAAAAATAATTTCTATCAAAGAAAAGTATAGTAAACCTGTTTTTTTTTTTTTACTTAACATTTATTTTATCTCAGCAAGAGAAGTAATTATTAAGACAGATGTATAATTCATATTATAGCATGTTATTATTTACATTATTTAAAAATGTTTAAGTAGCTTCTTATTCAAAATCATTAATCAAAAATTAAACTTTTATGTTCGTTAACTATATATAATTTTAATTTGTAATATAATATTTAAAAACATTTATTGTTAACTTATAATTGGTATTTTTTTAAATATATTACAATCAAATTATATATAATATGACTGTATGCAATTCACGGTTGTGTATAGATAATATTATATTATGTACTTTTATGATTTTATCTACAACTGTAATGCAAATGTATGATGCCTAGATTAATCAGTATACATTAAAGCAATACATAACTTAGAAATTAATTTGAAATGGGAAATCCCTTTAAAGGCATGCCTTTAAAAAGTATAACTTGTTTCATACTGTATCTATAACGAGAGAATATATTTCTCATCCTAAAAATGTATAAAAAAAAAGTTTTTAATCCTTTTAATTAATTATAAAATATTTTTATTTAGAGGTTCATCTGGTCATAAGCAAGTTTATTCAAAGGTAGTTGAGAATGGGGACTGTCATTTCATGTCTGTTGAAGAACTAGCTTTATCACACTATAAAAGTCAAGGATTTTCGAATGGTAATATAATTCAATTATTTAAAGTAATTATATATTTATGTTTCATAAATACTAAATGTATCATTAAATATTTTTGTTTATAGGATTACATGATGAGGGTCAGCTTATAAAGTCAATGTTCTTACTGTGTTTTTGGGAAATAATTTATGCTAGTTACAAACCATATGTTCTTTTCATTAGCCCGTATCAAGATTGCCCTTTAGATTGGAGAACTCGTCATTTTTATGAAATTCGAGAACAACAAATTAAAGTATTTTAAAAATAATTATAATTTATTTTAAGTTGATAGATTTTAAATTAAAATTTAAATATAAAACGATTTCAGGATCGAATGGCAGAATTGAAAAAAATGAATGTTGATCAAATATGCGATATGTTGAAAAAGTGTCATGATGAATATTGTGATACTCAATCTGTTGTAAATTGGAAATTTATGAGTGTTGATAACCTACCTCTGTGCCGGGTAACTTTAACATTAAGGTTAATCTAACATTTAGTTTTTATTAAATCTTATTTATTCATTATCGTTTTTAGACATTATTAGAGTGTATTGGAATAGAAGTGTTCCTTGCAATTGGTGAACAAATATTGAAAGATGGCCGAATTTATTTGCATGGCATGCCAGACCTTGTTGTTTGGGATATTGTTAAACATAAAGTAATATTATGTTATTAAGTATAAATGATTTTTATTAATAAGCAAATCTCAGATTTTATTGCATTTAAAACAAAGCGGTATTACCTTTTAAGCTGTTTAGGCTACCGCCTACGGCTGCAAATTTTAAGAGTCAACAAAATAACAAATTTTTTTATGATGCGACATAAAATATTTTATGTTGAAACATTATTTTAAAAATATTACAGTAAAATAGATCGCAGTACTATTTATGAATATATTATATTATATATTTATGAATATAAATGAATGCAAAAATTGAATGAATGCTGGAACATATATCTGAATTTAACATTATAATAAGTATTATTTATATACAATATGTTTTATGTGGAAATATTTGGAATAAGTAACAACAAGCTAAATATCATTAATTAATATATGTTAATAAAATAGTAATTTTCTTACGTCATTGGAATTAAATTCAGTAACTATTTTTGGTACAATAAATTAATAAATATGGTAATGCTTTTTGGAGTAAATTATTAATAAATAGAATATATGACAAATTTAGTATAGCCTATGGGTAGTAAAACCCTTAATCTAGCCCTGACTAAAAGACAATTAAACAAATGTTGAGTTATTTGTCATTTACCATGATAAGCCATAAATATATGAATTTTTATTTTTACTTATCTAATTTATTCAAATTATTTTCATTTGTTCTTTGAAAAAATAATGGGATTCACTGAAAATGTTAATTATTAAATTATAGACAAAAAATGTAATAGATAAAAAATAAATTAATGAATATTTAATAGTTAAACAATCTTAGATTAAATTGATCTTCATAGTAATATAAATCAAAATCATCTGAATAATAAAATAGAAGTGAATTTTCCAACCATTCACTTTTTATTTCTTTTTAATTTTCCATATTAAACTATGATTAATGAAAAATATGAAATAAATCTAAAATAAATCACACAAAAAACTTAAGTAATGATATTAAAAATTGTAAATGTTAAAAAATATGCGAAATACAATTATATATTTAGAATTAATGCATAAAACTAATTTATAACTTATGCTGCTATTTTTAAACATATTTTACAATAATTAACAAATGCTATAGAATTTGAGTCTTATTGGCGTTAATATTGTTAATAAGCATAATAATTTACATTTAATTTTATTGTTAGTGCATATTTGTTGAAGTAAAAGGACCAAACGATAAATTATCAGAAAGACAATATTCTTGGTTGCTTAAACTTATGAAATTTGGTGCTAATGTTGAAGTCTGCCATGTTGTTGGTTTGTATATGATGCTTGATAACATTTTTTTTTTCTCAATTGGTTTTATGTTTTTATTAATAATTTTAATTTTATTATTTTTTAGGAACTGGAGGCAAAAATAATAACTAACCTAACCTACTAAAATATAAATTGAAATTGAATGAGGGTATTCTAATATTAATTTGTTTTGTTTATACATTGAATAAATATATTTATTTCATATTTTAAGTCGACCAAATCATATACATGCCATGTTGAATATATTATATATATTTTATATTTTTATATTATTATTACCATTTTTTACTAGAATAGTTGTTTTAATTATCATGTTATGTATCAGTTATCTAATTATTTTAATTTTTAAGTATTAAATATTGATTGTTCCAGACTGAATTTTCAGAACTTATTTGAAATATATTAATTTTAAAATAAATGCAATTATTGTAACACCTTAATAACTAAGAAATCATAATCATCATGTTGTAAGTTGCTACATAATAATTGGAATCGATTTTCATAATGTACTTGTGAAAAATCAACGATTTTTCATTAGTGCTTAGAAGTATTAACCCGTTATGACCTATTCAATTTAAAAAACAACAGTCGTGTACTCAAAAGTGTTTCACATTATGGACAATGATTTATCTATTCACATTTTACGAAAATGAGTTTATCAGCTAAATTTAAGGATCTTTGTCTAGGAGAAGAGGAACCAGAACATCATATTATACAAGAGAGTTGGCAGTACAGTACTTTCAGTTATTCCATAGCTATTCAATCCACAACGTCTTTTCGTGCCACATGAGTACATGATTATTATACTATTTTAAACTAATAATTCCAATTGATGGAAATCATCTTAAATAATCATACACACCCTAACAAAACTACAAGTAGGTAATATTGTGGCCAAAACAATCATGTATTGATCAGTATCACACTATTGTTACTGCCTTGTACAGTAATACCGGATAAATACAATTATTGTATTTTTACCCTACACCCACCGTGTATCTCAAATGTTTCATATCACCTTTAATGTGGTTGCAAATCAATATATAATATATAAATTTGGTTTTTATAAGGTTATTAGGGTAATATTTAGGCATGTAACAAACTAACAAATTTATAATAAAAACAAAGTTTAATAGTAATACATTTTTTTAATTTTTTAATAATTTCATTAAAATATATTTTACATTCTAATTCTTGTTCTGTGGAAATTAACAGTAAAAATTATGATCTATTTTGGCTTATAACATACCTTAGTTTATTATTTCTATGCATAATTTGAAAAATATCTTTTACATATGCATATAATATGCAACTTGTGACTGGTACTGGTGGTTAAAATTTTTAATGTTAAATACATATTGCTAAAAATGTCTAACCTTCTACTCTGAACTCTCTTATAACCAGTCTAATCTGTCATATAAATGCATTCTCTGGATGTACCACTTGGTATATCAGGCATGTGATTAAGTATTTTAATTTTAGTTTCTAGTAAAATCCACATTTTTAAGTTTTAAATAAATATTGAATTTGGTATTTATTTAATAATGAGTACCTGGAAATCTGTGCACACGCCTATGGATGCTAAATTAAACTATTGTCCATGCATGAATGTGTGAATTTCAATTTATAATTATCACTAGGTGGTAATTCAAATACTAAGATTGAGTCTTTAAAAAAATAGAAATATTATATTTATAGTATATTTTATATTACACTTATGTATTAGTAATATTTCAAAAATTAACATATTATTTGATATTTAATGTATCCCTTTTTTCAATTTGCCTCATTGCCTTTTTCCTCATTCTTTTGATTTTGGCAGGATTCTTAATCTGAAAAAATTGAAATTTTTTGTGTAATTTAACATTTAAAACAAGTTAAAAAAACAAGTTTTAAATAAGTTAAAATTAAAACTGATAACCTTAAGCATTCCAAATTATAATAGTTGTTAAAATCATTTTTTTTTTTATTCTGTAGATTTTTTGAAATAAAAAAAATAATGTTCAGTATAAGTACACTATACTTATAAATATCAAGATAAAAAACTAAATGAAAAATTAAAAAGATATATTACCACTTGAACAACTTCAGATTTTCTCTGATTTTCTGCACGTCTTTTAATGTTTTCACGTCGTCTTTCTTTTCTAGCTTCGTTTTCTGCATTTCTTTCATTGATCAAGGTTCTAGACAACTCTCTAGTTTTCTTAATATCTTCCCTTAGTTTTTGTTTACGTTCAAAAGACAATTTTAAACCTTTAGTTTTGTTGATGGACGAAAATCTAAAGCAATACAAATTTATCTGTGTAGTGTGTACTCAAAATGAAATCGTATTACTGATATTTATTCATAACTGTTGCAAATTTACAACTTACTTGGTTTTAGGTGTTTTCCAAAATCGTCCACATTTAGGCATACCACGTATCGGTGCTTCTTTCTCTGACATTATGTTATAGTTGATATTGAGTTATACGTAATGGCTATTACCCGTCTGGCGAGAAAGACAATATTAGAACAAATTAAGCATAAAGTCGTCTTCACAGCAGACTGAGTATTTTTTTTAATCGTGATTTAAATATTTAATTCTGCTCCGACCCATTAAAAATTAAAGCATAAATTATTAGTAAAATAAAATAAATTATTATGAGACGCGTGGACCCGTGGTCCGTAAGAATAAGTAATGAGTAATTAATAATTACTGATTGGTGATTAACGATTTTACCAAAACCGAACAGAACTCAGACCATGTGTTCATCATTGTTATCGTTTCACGGTGAACATGATAAGGACTTCGGGTATTTTTTCTAAAACCATAGAGGTAAGCAAAAAGTTTTTATTTTTCAAAGAGAATAAAAAAAAAAATAGAAGAGTCCAGTTCCTACAGTCCAGTGTCACCCGGTCTAGTTTTCATAAGCTGTAATTTTATTGTAATATCCACGATAATGGTTTTATCACCAAAATCCAGTTCGTTTAAGTGACTTTAAGTCATGCTTTAAATTGTTTAAAACGAACTGAATAGTATAAATGACATGACTCTTACTTAGACTTTCCATTTGTCTCAGTTTTAACAGCATGTTCCGGTGTCCCGGTCGGTCATTAATTTTGTCCCGGTTAATGGGAGCCAAGAGAAAAAAACTTTAACATTGTATTATTTAATAATAAAATATAGAATAATATTGTACACATAGCATCATTATTCAATATATAATTATCGTTTAATGTCATCTAAATTGAATCGACATGTTTTAGGTTTTGTCTTTCTTTTTTTTAAAAAAGCTTCAAAAATTTTAAACTTGAGACTAAAAAAAAAAGAAAAGGTTATTCAATATGATGTCCCGGTAAGGTGATTTTAAAATCTGGCAACCCTACTCTTATCAATACTGGCGCCTACTGCCTAAATACAATAGATTAAAATATTTATTTAATTTGTATGTTTAAAAGATGACAACGGCAATACCGTAGAATTCATTCACCTCTTCTCGCATAAATACCACAGACTTAATTCCTCCGGAACTCTGATTGTGCTAATTTATCTCAAAATATAATGGGTTAATGGTAATGACTATTATAAAATGTTTAATTAAAGGTTCCATTTGCCGTTTAAAACAGTTTTAGTAGAGACGAACTCGTATGAATACGAATACCTATCTATGTTTTTTTTTCTGTTTTTTTTTTTTCTATAATCAAAACAGCAACCCATCTGAAATCGGTTTATGTTAATAATTTTACTCGATCTTAAATTATTTATCAAGTTGACTTAACTAATCAACAACAAGCACACTAAATTAAATACAAAACTACTAATATATAAATCTTGTTTAAGCCGATGTGTAGGATTAATGATCGCACTAGCTCTAAGGCAATGCTAAAAAATCATGTGCTAAAAAATTCAAACCTTCCAAAATAATATTCTCCGTAAAATCACCAATTCACCACCTTATACATCAAACCTAATAACTAACAAGTAACAATACATACCGATTTAAATATTAAAACCTTCCGTGAGTTTTGTTATCACAATCACGAATTTTGATTGTTCATTAGGGAACAGATTGTAATAAATATATATTGTATTCCTTTAAAATAAAAAAAAATAAAATTGACTTAATAATATCTTGTTAAACTCGGTGTAACTAGTTATAGTTATAGTAATATAGCATAGAAATTTTTAATATTGTCATCAATTTTTCCATAGATAGATAATTTATATTTGCGTTACTGTTTACTTAGGTGATTGCAGGTTATTTGTAAACATGCCATAAGTTTTTACAAAAAGTATGTTTTAATATTTATTAATATCTCATTGAACTTAGTTCTTAGATAATACTGTTTAATGTTTATTTTATAGTTAACTATTGCATATTGTGGTAAATCCAAGAATAAAATATAATATTGTTGTTTGCAATTATTTGTGTAAGCGGCTATAGATGGGTTTATTATACATAATTACCTATTACTATGTTTAAAGAATGTTTATATAATCTTTTTATATGATTATTACAATAAATAAATTAGTTAACATTCTTCTAAAACTTGAAAAACATGAGGGAAGGGAACATTCATCGACACTAGATTCATAATTAAAACTGAAATATGTACCAATAGTGTACCTACATACAATATACAAATCAAATTTCTTTTTTAAGTACCTAGGTACCTATTTACCATAATTGTCGTCATCAACATAGACCACTTGCAGCAAACAAGTGCTTACCTATTTTCTCTAAACTTGAATTTATTAAAAAACAAAATTCATTCAACATTATAGTAGGTATCCACGTAATGTCACCGGTAAAATGTATATATATGTAGGTTTGGTAGGTACCCACTTTATGTTTAAAATGGACATTTTTATAGTTCAATACTCCGCTTTGATACGACGTGTTAAAATTCAAAAATCAATTATCAAACATTATAATAATTAAAAAGTAGTACTATTTGAATATAATATTTTTTATAAGTTGGGTATGTATGTTTGGACATATACTAAAACGTATAGCCAGTGCTCGACTTGGCAAAATTAAAGTAGGGGGACTCTTTTAATTTTTAAAAAAAGTGTTCCCATCACTTTTTAAACATTACTGAGCCGTTGGGAATACGCCCCCACACCTTCTAATACCCCTTTTTAAAACATAAAAAATATTTATAAATTATCAATTTAAAAAAAAAATTTTTATAAATATTGTAGGTATTGTATATTATAGTTACATCTTATAAAATGTAACAAAAAACTTAAAAATAACTCTAAATATAAAATTTTAATAAGTTACTGAGTGTCCAAGTATAGCTATTGACTACTTACTTTTCCGTTTTTTAAAAAATTTAAATTTATCACTTTGTAATTTCTTTTTTTCAGCTATCGTATAAACACTATAAACACAATAACAATTGTACATTTATATATAATATAACAAATATCAATTACTTAAGGTACTATTTAAGTAGTAACATAGGCGTGCACAGACTTCTGAGTCAGGTATAACTAAATTCAAACCCTCCCCCGCCACGGTCACGCAAGAAAAAAATTATGCCTATGAGCAACTAGTATATATTTAATCATGTAAATATCTATGATTTTGATATCAATTTTCTACGGCTATAACGTCTTATTACTTTTTTAGGTACCAAGCACCCACCCATTAATAAAAAAAGGCTCAGATGGGGCTAAAGCCCAATCAGCCCTACCCACGTGCATGCCTATAAGTAGTAAGAAAATTAAATTAATTGATAAAAATATTAGTAAATAATGATAACAGTGGTAACTGATAATATATTATATCATACTATAGTAGTATTAGTATATAGTATAAGGTCTATATATTATATAAATTATCACGGTCTGTAAGTTATGAAACTTGATTAAAGATAATTATCTATGGTAAGAAAAATTATGATGTTACGCGTGCATTTTGATAAAATTGCAGAATGATGCAGCGTCTCGTACTCGTACGTTCCTCTTAAAAATATAAGAAGTAGAGGTACCTAGATACGCTAAAATTTCTAAAAAAATAGTTGGGATACTCCCCCCCCCAAATCGAGCACTGCGTATAGCCTCAAAGCCACGTAGGTCAAACTGTTAACACTTATTTCTCACAAAGAATTAGATATAGGCGTATTTGTTTTATATATGTATGATATTGATTATTGTTTCATCTCTAACATATTAATTATTAATAAATACGATACACATAATATTCAACTACAAAAAAAGGTAATATATAAATTCAAAGTCCAACGAGCTATCGTTTTATGATTGGTATTATGGACAATACATAAATAATTATGTTATTATATGCTATAGGTATATAGCACTAAACAGTTGTACCTTGTACATTATTGACGTAGGAATACACGAATTTATTGTTATTGTTTAACGGTAAACTCTTTGTAATTTTTTCGGTCCGACTAATTATAATGTGTGTATAGGTACTACTGTATTTAGTATATATACCTATCATATTATACGCATTGTGATACCTATTCTGATTTAAGACGACAGGTATTAAAATTTGTTTTTATTTTCAGTATAACGTTGAAATCGTGGTCACCAGCGGGTATAATGGTTTATGAAGATTTAAAATCAAAAGTAAATATACAATGAAATACATTTCGTCATGTTGTGCATATTAATTATTATTACCTATATTTTAGGGCGTAAGTAGTATAAATGTACAGAGTTTAAGATGTATTTTTTTTTTTACAGTTTGATCAAAATGGTTACGTAGTAATAAAGAATTTCCTAAACGAAAAGGAGACAAAGGACCTCAAGAATGCAGGAGAAAAACTCACCGAAAACGTGCCGGATGACGTTAAAACCGTGTTTGTAACCAGTCAAACAAAACAAGTAAATATAGATTCTCCCCCTCCACTTGTAAGTTCTATTACCGAGTTAGGTTTATACACATTTTAATTCCTTTTCAATTATTTTACCAACAAAACAATAATGAACTCAATTCTTTGTTATATCATAATTCATAATTCATAAATATGATAATAGAATATATACAATCTGTAATAATAGTTACAATAAGCATATAAGCTGAATTTATACAATGATTATGAATGCGTGAGATGAATAGCAGCTACCCAGCAGTAACAATCGACATAAAATATTTAATATTTAACGTAGTGCGGCGTATTGTCAATAATAAAGTTTAAAACAAGCAGGTATTTGCCGTAGGTAGGTTTAAAATTTTTTTACAAATGAATGTATTGATATAATAATAATTTATTATTATATAACATATATATTAAAGTGACATTAAACTCATTAAGATGAGCATAATGATGAGACACACTCGAAATCTGTACAGCAGAGCGATTACCTTACTTAATCTCTTTTTTGGTAATTATACCTACCTAAGAGTAATAATTGTTAAAATAATTTCGGAGAAATACTCGGATGTACACGACTCATGCGTGACATACTATTAAGTTGATAATTAGACATTTTAAAACTTTATTTGATTATATTTTTCTACGATTCATAGGTAGGTAGTACCAACTGCAAATTAATGAAAATAGGTAATAATAGAACTAGCCATTTATTTTTTTTCTAAACTTAATGAATTTAAATTTCTTTTTTAACGTGTAAATACAATGTTAGTAATAAGCTAATAAATTGAAGTATAGTTCATGAACTTGTCTACGACCAAATTAAAAGCGTTCACGTTCATAGAAAATTAGAACACTGTGAAGTTCAATATTGACAAAAAAATGAACGTGTTCATCATTTGACACTAATCCGCTGTACTTTCTCGTCATTGTCATTACCTGCAGCGAATAGTGTATATTATTATGTTACGCTACATATCATATGTGCATGTTTATGATAATACCTATGTGTACAATTAATTTACAGGTGGCAGACGATTACTTCATAGAGAGTGCCGACAAAATATCTTTTTTTTACGAAAAGGCCGCGCTAGACGATGATGGACGCTTGCTGGTCGACGCCTCGTTGGCGCTGAACAAAGTTGGTCATGCCTTGCACAGATTACACCCGACGTTTGAGGCGTGCACCTATAGTGACAAGGTGATAAACGTTTGCCGATCTCTGGGCTTATTGAAACCGGTAGTGCCACAGAGCATGTACATTTACAAAAACCCCGGTATCGGAGGTGAAGGTTAGTATACAGGATGATTCACTAAGCATGTTCATCTTTTTTTTTTTTTCCAATAATACATTTATTCAAACGACAACCTTTTTTTACACCATAATTGTTATAAAGTGGATATTTTTTCTGAACATTTTGACGCATCAGGATTTAAATTTGCGAACGAGTCGTATTTGAGTTATTTAACTAAGGGTAATAGGCCAATGATTAAATAATGGGTTTCGAAAATATGGATATTATAGCTATGGTCTATAACAGAGGATTTTTTTTAATAAAAATAGCTAATATTTTAATAGGTAATAAGAAACGTTTACTTACTAGTTACCACATACACTTCTTTATAGAATTACTATATAATTATTTAATACTAATTAATATTAAAGCATTATTCATCGGAAATTACCCATTCAACTCATTACTTTTAAAAAGAACACAGAAATGGCCATCTCTTGATCTTTTGCTAGGCTTACTGTCTATAAACTCATAAAGGTACATACCTAATATTATTGTTTTAAAATTTAGTCATCTCACATCAAGACTCAACATTTCTTTTCACGGTACCAGATTCATTGATCGGATTTTGGATAGCCTTGGATGATGCCACGGTAGAGAATGGTTGTTTGTGGATGATACCGGGTTCACATAAGACCGATGTACATAAACGTTTTATTCGTAATCCGGACAAGTGCGCTACGAGTCAAACGATTTTACAGGGAACGCATCCAGAATATGAACAATCGCTGTACGTGCCGCTAGCCGTTGAGAAATGTAAGCTTTATGTTCTCTATAGTATGATATTATCCAACATGGATTATAAAACTAATTTATATTGAATAAATTGATTTTATTCGTAGCCAGCCTCGTATTGATACACGGTAAAGTGGTACACAAAAGTGAACATAACAAGTCACAGTATTCGCGACATGCATATACGTTTCACGTATTTGATGAAGCAATAAGCCAATATTCTGAACAGAATTGGTTACAGACAAAAGTTGGATTCAAACCCATTTATACTACATAAATATCATGAACAAAAATATAATAATTTTATACGACCAACGAATATTTATTTTTTTGAATACCTATAATAGGATAAAAGAGCAAACAGGTGGAACTGCTTTCTCTTGTACAGATATCGAGTAGACGGAATAGGTCACTATAATGGCTGTGTTAAATTTAAATTTAATGATAAATCATTTTACACGAAAAAGAATTCAGAGCAAAGATATTTTTATAAGAGTTTAAAGCTAAAATTTTGACAATATTCATGAAAATTGCGAAATTTAGCAAATTATTTTTTTAGTTAGAAAATTATAAAAATTTTTGTTTTTATACACAAGATTTAAAAATGTAATACAAGGTTATTATTTATTAGTTTTTCAACCTATACATGAAAAACAAATTCTACCGAAAGGCGAAAAGTCAAATTAGTTTTATATGATATTCATTTCAAGTTGAAATATTTACGGTATTCGATATTCACTCGTAAAATAATTATTTATCTTCAAAAAATGTTGATATTTTATTAAATTAAAATAATAATAATAATAATAATAATAATTATATAGATACTTGAAATTTTCATCAAATGTTTATATTATCATTTTCAATTTTCTTATTCTTTTTTTTTTTTAATGTCAATTAAAAATTATTTGCAGATAGATATACTTGAAAACTTAATATAAGATCCCATAAAATATATTTTTACATCAGTATAAAAATATTAAAAATACATAGACACAAATTATTTTCATATACCTACATTTTAAGTTTAAACTTTGATGAAATTTGTCAAAATCGCAAAAAGTTACAAACTATTTTGTGATTAAAAATTCATAAAAAATTTATCAAGATAGGGAACTATTATTTTGTTTAAACATTTAACTTCTAATCTGGACGAAATTACTATTTTTAGCGATAAATAACGATAAATTAATTATTTTGTTATAATGTAAAAATATTATTTGTAGAACTTAAAATTGAATGTTTTTAATATTATTATCTATTCTATTTATAGGTATTATGAATCTGTTTATGTTTTTCTATATTAATAGAAAGATGTTATACATTTTTAAATTATGCAAGTTGATATAATGTGGTATAAAAAATGTATACAATTTTAATGATTAAATACTAATAATATAATATAAATACATATTTTCGAAAAAAAATTTATCAACTTGGTATAACTAATACTATTAGTAAAAAAAAATGATAACACTATATCAACAAAGCATTATCACTTGGTGATATAGCCTGATAGGTCGTTTTTGTTCTGAATTGTTTTTCGTATTCAATGAACAAAGGCGAATTCAAGGAGGAGAGAGGCAGTATAACTTATAATATATTAAAATTTAAAAGTTGTAATTATATGAATTAATAATATTTCAATTTATTGTTTCAATTTTTTTTATAAATTAAATTATACTTTTAAATTTTTCAAGTTAGAAAAGTTGGATTTACAATTTATTTTAAGGTTTAACATCAAATCTTAAATATATTGTACATACAAAGTTAATATGAAAAGTTTAGATCCCAATGATCCCATTCCCAACAAAAATTCTAGATTTACCACTGACAATGATATATTATTGAGTTCAAATTTAAGAAACCTATAGTGGCTATAATAGTAATTCATTCAACATATAATATATAGCAGATTGGAAATCGCTCACCAATTTTTTTTTTTTTGAATTACAACAAAATATCAAAAATTAATTGAAGTATAGTTATAAACTTCAATTATAAAAAATTAGTATTATCTCGTAGTAACTTATTATTATTATTAGTAGTAGAAATATGTATTAAGGATCTTGTATTTAATTTTAAAATCTTAGATGCAAAAGTGAAAATTTCTTTGAATTTTCAACTATAAATTAATTTGCAAATTTTCGTGATTTTGACAATATTTGTCAATATACAGTAAATGGTACCCATTTTTTTTTTATTATTTGAAATAAACAGTTTTTAAATTTATTAATAGTAAGTTTATAAGGAGACAAAAGAGAGATATTTTTTATTCTAAATATGAGAATAAAACAATTAATAATGTAGGTACTTTTATAATAATAATAAATAGTAATTATATTAACAAAAATTAAAAATGCTAAAATATATTTTTGTTAAAAAATATTTACATACTAGTAAATAGTTTCAATTTAATAACTTAATTAATACATAATATTATGACTTAATGGTGGTAATCAAGTTTTTTATGGCTGCCAGATTGTTTTGAAAGGATATCAATAATTGAAAAAATGAATTTCTGAAATACAGTATAAATTATTTAATAAAAAATATTTAATGAGGTATTTTTTTCTTAATACATACCTATTTTTCCGCAAACAATAATCAAGAACATTTTCTTTAGTCAAGTTAACATATACATTATCAAATGCAGTAATTGATTTAAAAAATTCATCAATAATTATGTGAGATTCCAATATTTGTTCAGTTTTTAATAATTTTATTCTGAAATTTTAATTTTAATTAATTATTATTATAATAATTAGGTTGTATAAGTTATACACATACTTTAACATGATTTTGACAATATTTGATAATTTACAACAATAGCTTTTAAATGTATCATCAACATTTATTGTTCGAATAACTATATCACATTTTTTTTCATTTTCAAAGCAGTCACGTTTAAAACCATTAGCATTGTAAACATTTGAGCTATAAAAAATATAATTTAGTTAAGGTATGTAAACAATTATTAATGTAGATTACTTACCAAAAGGTATCAACTCTTTTTGAAATATTGTACAAAATTTCATCAATATTAAGAGCATCATCATTTGAAATACTTAAATCGTTTAATGAATAAAATGACTTATCACAAAGTGTAGTACAATCTAGTTTCTGTTTTAAAATTTTTCTAGCTTTCTGGAATTAAATTATGCATTTTAATACAAATAAGTAATAAATTATTATAATTGGTGATTAAATTTTGAAATGAAAACAATCGCTTTTAAAAGTAAGCAAATACAGCTAGCAATCAGAAAAGTACAAGTAACAATGGCTATCATAGTTGTTTTATACAATATATATATATATACACACACACATAATTAATAATGATACTTGGTATTTAATGTATAATAAAATTGAATTATTCTAAAATAAGAAACTACAATTTACATAAATACAGTCTTAAATTTTATAAAATAGTTTAATATTTAAGGTTTTAACTTTGGTTATTAATTAAAACTGTATAAACATTTAACACTAAAAAATATTCTAAGTATGTAGCAATAAAAAGTGAAATCAAAGTAATAGCATTTAATAGCTTTTTTAGTTAAGCATTTAAGGTAAGATTTTAAACTCTATAATTACATAAATAAATGTTAAAAATGTATTTGAAAAGTCAATTAAGTAAAATATGTAACTTGAATGTACATTCTATAAATGGTTTAATAATTAATTCTACTTCATGCACAAACTTATTAGTTATTACATACTGGGGTTAGTGATTGATGAATCAATTTTCTTAGCTATTGTAGATCAATAATTATTAGAGATAAAAAAAAAAAAACTGACATTTTTTAGAATACATCATTATTTTCACTGTTAATCAATAGAAGTTTCCAGTGGTGATCAAACAATTAACCTGATGCAAGTAAATTAAATTTTATAATAAAAATGAAAGTTCAGTTTAAATGTTATTCAAAGAAACAATAGATTATTTTTAAATAAATATTTTTATTGGATAGTTTTAGCCTTACCATTAGATCGTTTAAAAGTACATCAGTAATATGATAATATTCATAAGGTAAAGCAACTATAGTTTCTGTACAATAATTGAGAAAATTGTATAACTCAATCCAACTAAGGCTAATTTCAGGTGCTATTAAACAAAATAAAAAAATAGCTTAAAATAACATCTACATACACTTCATATTTAAATGTATTTAAATAGTATAAAATATAAAACATATCATTTAAATGCAGCCTTAACTTACAGATTTGTTTAAGATCATTAAAAAAATATTCCATATAATCCAATTGTTTTTTAGGGGCTTTATGTGATTGATGAGGTGCTATTATACTCCAATGTTCTTTTAGCTTTACTAATAATTGAGTTAAATTGAATGGTTTTGATAATGAATATATTTCCCACCAAAACTTTTGGGTATGATTTGAATAATTCATATTAAGATCCACAGCACACTTTAATACCTGTTGAATAAATGAAAAATTAATTAATAACAAGAAAAATAAATAATTTTTTTTCAAAATTAGTTGGATTCTAAAACCAACTGTGCATAGCTTCAATACATGTTATAAAACATATTACAAAAATATCATGTGAAACAATTTTACTTTTATTTATTTTAAAATAGGAATGATTGATAACAAGCAGTTAACATATTACAATTGATTGATAAATTACTTTTAAATTAGTTTAGATATGACTTTCATTATTTCTTTAAGGATTTGCGTGTTTATACTAGGAACTGAACATTAAGTGATTTTGTAGAATTTCTGTACCTCTTGCTTGATGTTATAATTTTTACAATTAGAAATAAGCATTTTTGGTAGAAACCATGAGAAATAGAATTTAATTATGGAGCAAATCTTTTTGTAAAACGTGGAATATCAATTTAAGTAAGGCTAATGTAAAGGCAAAAACATAAATAGTATATAATGAGCATAACTTTAAGTCAAATTATGATACAAGGACAATTAATGTTCATGTATTTTTGTAAAATTTAGAAGCATAAAGACAATTAGAAATAAAAATAATATATTACTTGATGGACAAATGATTATTTTTTTTTAACAATATAAAAAAGAAATTCAAATATTATTATACTTACCTTCAATATAATATGTTCCAAATGGGGTTCAAGTTTCATAATTAATTTGTTTTCAATTATTGGATAACTTTTAACAGCTTCTAAAATATAATAGTGTTTTAAGGTTAAATAAAATAAAAAAACTCTAAAATCTACTAAAAATAAAATTATTTTTTTATCAGTTTTAATTGAATAATTTTATTTTATAACTAAATTTAGCACAAAATAAAATTTACATACCCATGATTATTTAAGGCTTTTGTTTCAGAAGCAATATGAGAACCAAAATCAAAAGTAAGCATTACATAGTTTAGTACTACATAAAAAACAAAAACTAATAACTTTTATAATATACATTGTTTCTAATTAATTCTCCTTCAGCATCATACACTTTACCTGATGCGTGTGTTTATATTGTTTATAACATATACATTATTTACTATAGGTATTTACATTTAAGGCTTTCTAAAAACTATTTAAAGTATTAAAGCCTAATTAAATCAAAACCTGAATAATTTATAGCTGTAAATAAAGTATTGATTCAAATGAACCAAAATATTAATTATACTTAAAGAAACACAGAATAATGTTCTTTATTTGACAGAAATAGTGAGTACAGTAGAATAATTTCAGCTATTGAATTTGTATTAAGTATTCCATTTTATAATAATTACCTCACAAAATGTATGTGAATAATAAATAAGTATTGTATAATTAGCTATATAGACATCAAAATATTTTAAATTTTATGAATATAATTTAAGTGAGAAGAATAATGTTAAAAGTATATATATTAATTAAAATAGGTAAAAACTATTTATTCAAATAGCCTGAGGAGATATTTGTTTTATAACTTTGATTGATATTTAAGACAAAATACACTTTTTACAATAAAAGATTTAATTTTATTGAAATTAAAAACAGAGTAATTCTGCAATACATTGTTTAATAGTTCATTTCAGTCTTCAGGTAATATCTTATATTATTAAAAAAAATATTAAATGAGTAACTAATATAATGATTAATACTTAAATTATAACTATAACAAAATTAACACTTAATTTAATAGGTAATAGCTATTTAAATTTTACAGAATATTTAAAATACAAAAAATTTAAATTAAGCCATATAATGACTAAATTAATTTGTATAATTTATAAAATATAGAAAACATATTGCCATGATTTAACATAATGGAAAAAAAATACCTTTAACTTACTTAACACTGTCACAAAGATGAACACGTTTCGATTTAATATACATTATTTGTATGAATACTAAATGTATCAAATATTATTGTAATTATAATCATAATTTACATTAAAAAAAAAAACTTATGTCTAACCACAAAAATATTAAAACAAATTTCTTTAACATAATATAAAATTGTGGTCTTAAATTTTTGACACTTTTTTTTTTTTTTTTGTAAACAAATTAGAAATTTGAAACAATTGTAATTAAACATTAAATAATATATTTATAAGTTTATTTACCTGTAAGTACCTAAAATAAATTTAACGATATTATTATTATTTTATTGAAAGAATATTAATTTAAGAATATATATTTTCATAAAAAAAAAAAAAAACATAGTTACAGCTTTGATAGTATAATTGGATTTAAATTTAATTAGTTTTGAAAAATAAAAATTTATTTGAAATATTTAAATATTTTATAAATTTTGATAATATTTAGGGTTATATTGAAATTAAAACTTTTAATCAGATGTTTTTCAAAAAAATATATGATTTACTCAAAGGTATCATACATTTTGTGAATTACTTTCCATTTGTAACTTGATGAAGATGCGTCAAGTATGAAGGGAACTTCCTGAAAAAATCCGAATGACAATTTTGTTGAATGTAAATTAAAACTTTTTTTGTTACTCATTATAAAAGCTACGTTATTTATTATAATTGGGAATTTACTTATTAAAAGTCTTACTACCTATAACCTATAAATTATTAGTAAGTAAATTTATATACAGAATAATGAACAATATTATGTAATTTTAGTTATATATAAATACATGACGAAACTAATAAAATGAGCGTCACTTAACAAATTAAATTAATAGTCTCCAGGTTACCAAGTATCTGATTTTCATCTGCATAGGTACTCAGTAACGCATGAAGTTTTGGATTTATGGACTTAAACTGAAATTACAGTTTTAAGGTAAAATTTGATCAGGAAGTAATAAAGGATAAGAGGAATTTTTTAAATTTAAAAAAAGGACAGTTTATTTTATGCTAAAAACTATTGTATTGTTGTACAGAAAGTATGTTTCCATGGTTGTGAAAGTCAGGAAGTATCATAGAGTACTTAGATAATATGAATTGAAATAATTTGTTCGAAAATGATTAGTCTTTTAAAGAAAATCTTTAAAGAAACTAATTAAGAGATTAATTTATCTGTAAAAGGGCGGTTTTTTTATTCTAGTTTATGATTTGTGATTACATGCAGTAGACTAATTATAATGTGATAACATACAATAAATTGGATTAAAAAAATATATCGGATGAATGTAAATAAAATATAATATCAAAAACAGAAGAATGATATAATATTTGTAGGACTGTGAGTAATATAAATAGGATAGCAAATCAATATAGAAATTAAATAAGTAAAGAATAAATATAAGTGATAAAACAATGAGAGATTTTTTGGGGAGTCTATTTAAATTGCTTAGTCATTAGTAGATAGCTTTTTGATTATGTGTAAAATCTTTTATATGCTAGTAGATATAGGAATAAGAGATTTCAAAAAGTGCTCAATAATTTGAACGTTTGTTCTATTGGGACAAATATAATATAAGTGTGGTTTAAAAATACTAGTAAGGTGTTCAGAAAAATATTGACTTTAACAATATATGTGGTGGCTCATGAAATATTGAACTTGCAGAAAGGATATAATTGTTTATGGTGAATACATTTTTATGGCCCTCTATAGGTTGAAAGATTTTGAAAATACCTATGATAACTTTTATTTCATGTTTCAAGAAGTTTTATTTAGGTTATTTTTTAAACTGTTGAATTTAGTTTTGTCTGTATGGAATTTAAATCATTTTTACTGAGTTCTAATTTTACGGTGTTCAACAAATACGTTTTTAACACAAACAGAAATTTAAATATTATTTAAAAGTGAAGGGTGGTTGATTGCGACATTTAAAGGCAGAAACTTGGTTGAAAAGGTTAATGAATGAACAGTGATGTCAATAATTTTGTTCTTAAGTTTTTCAATTTTAATTTACTTAAAACATTTAGTTATTTGTTAAGAAATATATTATATTATTTACCTCTATAAATGTCTTAATTGCAATATTTAAATATATTTTATATAAAAATATGCAATCAAGATGTTTATTTAGTTTTAACAACTATTGGAAACAGTATTTACAACCTATATTAGAAGTATTGGCCACAATCAGGTGATTTTTATATTATTTATTACTAATCTTAACATAGGAGAAATGTATGCAGGATTTAAAATTAGTTTTGAGAAGATCAGTTAAAACATAGGTTTTTTATTTTCAAAAACACTAATTTTAACTAAAACTTAAACTAAAAAATTAATTTGCAAAACTTAAACCAAAACCAATTCAATTGATACTAAACATAATTAAACTTAACTAACTATAGTACTATTTTACAACTGTAGTTATTGCACTTTAAATTGGTTGAGAGTGTGTAATAATAGTTACAAATAAATTTAAATGTTTAATTTTTAACATGGATTTCATTTTTTTTTTTTTTAAACCTTAAAATATGCTCTAAAAAATTACTTAAACATGTATTAATAACACAAGCATCAAAACAATGAGTAAGATAATGAAAAATAAGGGCTATAATATTTTTTATTTTAAATGTTTATGAAAATATCAAAACTGAAAAAAATTTCTAAACAAAATGATTAAAAATAAAAAAAAAAAGTTTAATTTAATAAAGGTTAAGTATATGTTATGTGCTGTTTAGCTAGCACCAGCTAGTTAAAAAATTTAAATTTTTTTTGCTAAGCAATTAGCATGTAATTAACATGAATTTTCATGATGATTGGCAAAATTTGCATGTCGAGTTTTACTTTCCAAATGTCTCTCCAGCACTACCCAACAATTTTTGCCATTTGGGATGCAAAATATAACATGCAAATTTTGTCAAGTCATAAAATTTATGCTAATTGCTCAACAAACAACAAAATAAAAATGTAAAATTTTTAAATACCTGGTGATGGCAAGATATGATATGTGTTATGCATTTTAATTAATTAGAAACAAATCATAGTTATGTTTATTATTAGTTAATAATTAAAAAATTATTACAGTAAAGTCTCGATAGTCCGGACCCCCGATAATCCAGTGAACGCGGTAATCCGGACGGCAAAATTCCATTTGTTCGTAAATAGATTTTACGAGAATTCTCACAACCCAATTAATCTATAAGATATTGTTATCGACAAATACAATTTTGTCATTTTTATTACCTACTGTTCCTAGCAAAGACTAATACATAAATACATATTATGTACATAGGTACATAATAAATCGATACCCGATGGTCAGTTCGTTTACTTCTTTCTTGTCGAGTGGTTATTATTCTTGTTTGTTACAATGGCTCCTCGTAAACACGTAACTTTGACTTAAAATCAAAAAATTGAAATAATTAAGCTAATAGAAAATGGCCAGAACTATGGTATAATTGCTGAGAAGTACGGAATAGGTAAATCGACTGTTGGTGACATAAAAAAAAATAAAGACAAAATTACGAAGTTTGTCAGCACAACTGAATGCGGTCCAGGCTCACGTAAAACTTTAAAACAGCCGGAAAATTTTGTTTTCGAAAACGCTTTATTTATGTGGTTTATGCAACAGCGGAGACAACACATTCCGATAAGTGGTGAAATAATTTGCGAAAAAGCACGTTTATTTCTTTGTGAAATAACAAAGAAGGAAGATGGTTTCACTGCTAGTAAAGGTTGGCTAAACAATTTTAAACATCGTCATGGTATTAGGTGCTTTAAAATAACGGGTGAGAAACTTTCGTGTGACGAAGCATCAATCGAAACATTTCGAAATGAGTTGCAGCGAGTCATAAATGAAAACAATTTGGACCTAAAACAAATTTATAACGCTGATGAATCCGGTTTATTCTGGCGAATGTTATCAGAGCATACATTAGCATTAAGTCATGAGAAAAACGCCCCTGGGAGAAAAATTATTAAAGCTCGAATAACATTCATGCCTTGTGCTAATGCAAGTGGAACACATAAGCTGCCTTTGCTCGTTATTGGGACTGCACAAAAATTACGTGCGTTTAAATCAGTTAACCTTCCCGTATGCTATCGTGGACAAAAAAAATGCTTGGGTCACTCGTGTTTTATTTTTAGACTGGTTTCAAAAACAATTTGTTCCTGTAGTTCGTGAGCACCTTTTAAATGTTAATTTACCTCCAAAAGCTTTATTATTGTTGGATAATTGCCCTGGACATCCATCAGCAGAAGAATTACGTAATGATGATGGCAACATTTTTGTAATGTTTTTACCTCCTAATACTATCATTCAACCGATGGATCAAAATGTAATTCAGAATATTAAATTAAACTATCGTAAGTCTCTCTTAGTTAATGTTCTTGCTGATCCGGTGTATGAAGATAACCTTGTTGATGCTCTAAAGGCCATAAATTTAAAAAACGTAGTTTTCAGTCTTGCAAATTGTTGGAAATTGGTCCCGCTAATGCTCATAAAGAAATCGTGGAAACACTTGCTTCCTTTCTAAGCAGAAAATGAAATCGACGAAGTTGTTGAAATTGATGATATTCAACTTTCTACGCTCATAAACTAGATACAGGAAACATGTACGAATAAAATGTCTAATTCTCAAGCACAGGAATGGGTTTGCCGTAGCGCTGACGAAGATTTAGCGAATCATGAAATCTTAATTGATGATCAAATTCTACAAATTGCAGCAAAAAAGATGATATTGACGACGAGGATGAAAGTGGCTCAATCAGTACAAGTAAAGTTTCTCCTTCAGAAGCTGTGAATGCACTGAATACTGTATTGCAATGGGCAGAAGATGAGAACGTGGATAGCACTGATATTTTTTGGTACGTCGATTAAGAGAATTCGCTTTTGAAAAGAAAATTAAAAGTATTATTCAGAAAAAAATTACCGATTACTATAATTAAGTTCTACATACATATTATTATAAACATTTTTTTTTTATAATTCATTAGTTTAGTTTTAATTTAATTTAATTAATATTCTTGTAATTTAAAATGCAATAAATATAAAGTTAGTGAAATAAAAAATAAAATCATAGTCATTTGAGTAGGTAATTTTGAAAAACCTCCAGTAATCTGGAAAATTGAAAATCCGAACGATGCTCGGTCTGAATTTGTCTGGACTATCGAGGCTCTACTGTATTTGGTTTTAAATATATTTAGAATATTAAAAAAAATTTGATTTTTTACAAATAAAGTTATAAAACACATATAATTTTAATATATACATAAAATTAGTAGAACAACCATAACAAACACATAAAGTAATATTTTAGACATATTCGTTGAAACATTCTTCAATTTTACTAGATTTTTATTTTGTAGTTCAAGATTTTTTAAAATTTTCATTTAATAATTTGTTGTGAAAATAAAATATTTAAAAATAAAAATAATTATTTATTAGATGTTTATGTTGTACCAAATACCAAACAATTTCTTATTTGAAAAAAAATATTTCTAAAAATATATTTTTTGAGAAAATTTTTAATTATAATAAAATGTTTTATTTTATATCGTGTGAGTAAATTAATGTAAAAAGTTATAAATTAGGTATGCAAATAGATTTTTGATAACAAACAAATTAATTCACAAAAACCTACTCGCCCTCATCACAATTTTGTGGTACCTTACCTGGGTATAAAGTTTGCGTTACTGATGTTCTTAATGTATACTACAATATATAACCATTATACTCTGTTACATATTAGATAAAAATAACAAATATAAATACCAAAACCTCTTTTAAAATCCACACTAATTTATTTCTTTATTATACAGTAGTTAATACTTAATAAAAATTTAAAAGATAAGTTATTAAAGTTCAATTTAAAAATTTAATTTATCATTATATTTTCCCACTTATTTAAACTTAAATTAATTTATAAATATAAAAGTAAATAAGTAGGTTTAAAAAAATAATGTGTACAATTTCAATTAATAAAAAAATATCTATAATTTTTTGGACAACAGATAAGAAAAAATGCTGAATATAATGAACATGTAACTTATTTATTTTTATGTAAGATCATTTACTATAGTTCATTTCTTTTGAATACAAAGTTTTAATTTGAATAGTTACTATATAAAGTAAATATCAGTAAATATGAAAAAAAATTTTATCAATACTAAAATAATGTAGTTTTTGATCATGGTTCTCAAGTATTTTTCTAATAAATATTTAGGTATTAATATTTAAAACTAAGTTTTATAAAATTATCAGCAAATTTTTTAAATTATTTTTATGTATATATAAGTTGAAAGTTTAAAACATATAAAATAAATGTGTCTAAGGCTTGAAAGTATAGCAATAAAAAGTAACTTTAAAGTGTTTTAATGTGTGTTTATAAATTTCAAAATGTGCAAAATACAAATTTTTAAATTTATTTTAATATAATTTTAGAATTTGTAAATGTTTTTTTTGTTAGTATAAAATGAGGTAAAATAAGTTGCTCATACCTCAAGTAGTTGGATCAGCTATTCTATTACTACTGGTTGTTTTATGAATTTCTAATTATTTTAATTCTAATTTTAGACACATTGTATGAGCAAATGTAAAAAAATTCATCAAAATGTATTTGATTTCTGAATAAGCAAAAATTAGCAAATTAAAATGTTGTATACAACATTAGGGATATGTGAAGTAGATTTCAATCTTAATTTGGATCTTATTTTCTAATTTCTAAAAAAACATATGCAAATGTTAGAACTTCCAAGCCTTGGTTATATCATTGATTATAAATAGTACTATTTATAATCAATGGTAATATCTAATAATGAAAGCGTTAATAAAATGAGTTAGGGCTGATGGTACTTTTGGTTCACTAAAATACCAGTAAGATTAAATAATTTAATAAAAGCAAAAAGCAAATATTTACAATATTTACATAATTTCATCATAAAACATTTTTTTTTTTTTTTTTTTTAAATAGAAATCTAATACCAATGTCTTACATAATAAAGGAGATCAATTTAATTTAACATAATTAGTATAATTTTTGCTATTAAATTAAAGTTACATGATTTGAAAATAAAAATACTAAATTAATTTATTATTAAATTACCTACTGAAAATATCAATTAATCTAATAAAAATCTTAAATATCAAAATACAGTTACATACCACTATATCAGTAATAATGTAGCTATTTTTTATTTTTATTTTTTTGGGAGGAGGGGAATGAATTTAACAATTATTTTTGGAGCAAAAAACACGTTTTAATGTTTAATTAACTAATATAGATACAATTTTGATAATAAAATAATAATAAAAATTGTTTTACAAGTGAAAATCAAATAAATAGCTTAGAATTAAAAATTATAATTAAATCATAGAAATTATGACAAGAATAAAAGTAATTAAATTAAGTTTTGAATGTCTAAATAATTTTTTCAATATTTTTAACAATGTTCTTTGAATATTTCAGCTAAACAAAACTATTTTATCAATTTTCACTAATAGCATTTCTTAAATGTTTTGTACTAGAAAAGATTTTATCAACTGAAGCTGTTAACTTACAAATAAAATTAACTATATTTTAAATGATATTTTAATATTAAAAAAAGTATTCCCAGATCTTGGGGCAATATTAATGCATTCATTGGGTTAGTTGGGCTATTTTTTTCTTTCATCTTATTAACTTTAATTTAATTCCTCTTTTATACATGGATTTATATGGAATTTATTTAAATTGTCTTTATACAAATCATAAAAGTACCATAGTTAACTATATCTTTTTGAGTACCCATTATTCTGGTTACTGAAGGAAATAATTTTTTCTGATATTTAGCTGATTTAATTAAAAATTAATTTTAAATATAACTTAAGCTCCTATGGTGTGAAAATGTTATTAATAATTATGGCTGATATGATCATTTATTATAGAATATTTGATAATATTAATTTTTTTTGCAAAAACTAAATAATTAAAAAAACTTTTTTATTTTAGAAATAGGGATAGCACAGCCCCCCTGGCTATGGCATTGCATACCAGTATCAGTATATTAATATTACCAGTTCTATAAGCTAACTGTAGCTTTAAGAAATTCTTAATTTTTAGCATTAAAGAAATTTGTTTATGACAAAATGTGGTAGAAGTTCAATGTTATATATGAATGTACATAATATATTGTAATGATCTAAAATAATGTATTATTGAAATCAGTTTTAAATGTGTAATTAGTTTTTAATTTAAAATAAAAATATATTGCTTTTTTAATATAATAATTTATAGTTATCAAAGATAAATTTAACAAAATTACATATTTTGTTATTTGTAATGAATTATTTTTTAAATTTACCTAATCTAGTAACTACAAATAATGTTTATTGAAGTATACTAATTATTATCACTTACCTTGAAAAATTCCAGATTCATTTTGATTTGTATTTGTAACTAAACTTTGGAGCCAATTTGAATTTTTAACTGATATTCCATTAATTTCTGATTTTATGCTTAAAATTTTATCATCAGTAATTAAATACTGTAAAAGAAAAATATGAAAATTTAAAATATCCATTATATTTAAAATAATTGAAATGTAATTTCAGGAAATTGAGAAATAATTTTTATTATCAGATTTTAGGATTTTGTGTTAAACTATGATATACTTACTAAACAAAATTACCAAAATATTAAATATTTTTTTTATATTTAAAAATACAATTATTAATTTATATTGTATTAATAAAGTTATTAGTTTGTTTAATAATTTTATTCATAAAAACATTTTATTAAAGGCATAGTTAATACACAATGTGTATGAATAAACAAATATTTATAATAAGAAGTCAATTACTTACTACAATATTCACTCTTTCTTTCACAGTTATGGCACACTTTAAAATATCATCATCAGAACTCATACTAAATTTTTTTGTCATAGGTTGACCTTTTAATCTTGGATGACGTTTTGAAAACATTTCTAATAACCATCGGGAGGCCTCACGGGCTCGATAACCTAGTGCATTATCGCCGTTTTTAATGCGATCGAGTTCTTTTAGAACTTGCCATGGTAATACAATTGTTGGATAACCATAGTCTGAATAAAATTAATTTTACAATAAATAATCTATAAAAAATAACATTTTATTACTGAATAATTTACCAGCTAAATATTTGTCTATAACAATAGTAATTGATTTCAAATCTGATAAAAGTATATTTGTATCAATCACTAAACAATAATTAATTCCATCACAGTGCATAATTGAATCAGGTGTCCATTCCATAGGTTCATATTCATGTTTAGTTTTTCTCAAGTCATTAACCTTATAAAATTAAATATTTTCCAAATTAAAAATAAATTAAATTTTACTTATAAGAATTATTTTGTAGCTTACTTTTTCAACTATGTCGTTTGTTTCAATTATATCTTCCCACTCCATATACTCATCATTATTAAATTGCGTACTAAATAAATTAAAATTATGATTAACATTATTAAGTTAATGATCATTCGCATAAATATTTCAAGAGTAATTTTATATTTACTACTGTTATATTTGTTTTTTTTCTCTTTAGATTACAACAGGTACAAAATTTAATCGATTGTCATATTTTTTAAGTGAATAGAAAACTTAACATAGAATTAATTAAAAGATAAAACAATATGGAAGTTTTATCAAATACTAAATTTATAAAATACTAGTATAAATAATCTTTAGTCAAGATTTTTAAATTAAAAGATTCTTTAAACTATTAAATCACAGTATAAGCTTGATTACTATTATCTCTACTATTGTTATAATTACATTAAAATAATGATAACCATCAGTAGTAGATATAAATTCTCTTGCAAAGTTACTTTTATAGTTACTTTTTTTTATTTTCTAATATTTGTTGATTACAAGAAGTTTGTGGTCTAACAAAACTAAAAGAGTCTAGTTCATCTGACTTAGAATTTTTTAATAAGCGTTGATTTTCCAGTTTAATCATATTTTCCTGTTTTGGTGATATTATTGTTTCTGAAACTGTAATTAGTAAATTAGATTATTTGATATAATAATGAAAATATATTAATATTCAATATTGTAATCAATTAATTATTATTTTATGTCGTAATATAACAATATTAAGCAAATAAATCTTACCAGAGGAAGAATTAGATGAAATTGTATTATTTACAATTGGTACAATTGGTTTTTGTTGTATATTCATTAGCTGTTGATCAAAACATTTATCAATAGAGGAATTGTTATTTGAAATAATTTTTTTAGTAGTTGATATAAGTCCTGATTTCTTTTTTTTTGTACTTTGATTAGGTTGGTTTAACCTTTTTGTTTTATTTTTAATGTTCCGGCTCAATGTATTTGTATCTTGGTTAATATTATTCACTAAAACAAGAAATAATATAAATTGAAAGTTAACATAATTCAATATATTAAAATTTTAATTAGTGTAGCATGTAGGTGTTTGTAAATATTATGTATTATTTTCTTCTTATAAAGCTCAACAAAGATACAATATTTCCATTTTTAATTATATTATAATTAAAATAAGAATGCACTGAACAGGTGGCTAAATATAGTTTGTGTTAACAAATAAGTCTTCTTTTACAGACTAAAGCCCACTAAAACAATTATTGCAATCAATATTGACAACCAATAATAGATTATCTATATGTGCTTAGATGAACATTTTTATGTACCAGTAAGGTGCATTCCTATTCTGAATAAAGTATAACACTTTATAATAACAATCAGAATTATAATAAAATATTGTTAAGATAAATGAAAAGATAATATGTACATTTTTGTAGTTTTATCTTGTACATAATATTAATGTCATAAACAAATTCTCACAGTACTTTATAATTAAGAGGAAAAAATACTTTCTTTATAATTATTAATTAAATATTGTTTTATAATGTAAATATATATATATTATTAATTAAGTATTGTTTCATAATATATATATTTGTCTTAAGTACAGAAGGTTATTTAAAATAGAGTATTTCCCTGGTTAATATTTTAAATAAATACAATTATTAGGTTGCTTACATTCACATTTTGATGGTTTTTTATTATTTTCAAATTTTAAAACATTAACTACAGAATGATCTTTGGATTTAGCAGTCATTTTTTCTCTTGCATGTATGAGTCTATTTTGTACAGAAGTTATTGATTTACCTGCACAGTTAAATAATAATATAATATTAAGCAAAGTATAATCTTAAAGTTAAAAATATAATATTCATGCTGAGTTGCTGGAATTAATTTAATAAATCAATTATGGACCACTAAATCATTTTTAAGGAACTATTACCTCATTATTAATTTATTTAATACTTAGTGATTGTTTATACACCCCAGCATTAATTTTGTATTTTATGATACTAGGAAATCGGAATAACTTATATAAAATAGGCCATCTATTAAAATGGCAATTTAAAAAAAAGGCGGGAACAAAAAAATTGGTACTTTAAATTTTATTCAGGTTAATATTGAACTACTTTCATACACATACTGAGGCATGAATCATCATAATCATCAGCATCTGTACTTATGCTCATAGTAGAGGCTGTCTAATGATAGGGATGTGTTGACATGACGAGAGTTTTGGTCATCTAACGGTTCAATCTTAATCTGAATAATTAATAATATAATTTAATACATAGAAACAAAAAACTCACAACAAGTAAAATTAGGAGTACTTATCTAAAAATTATTAGAATTGGGATATCAATTTGATTTTTTTATGTTCTATTGCATAAACAATAATTAAAAATAATTTAATAAACAGCAGTTTATTGCAAACTAACAGTTTCTTAAATATAATTTTATGATCTATGATTGGTTCATTCAATTTTAATAAACCATTAAATAAATACATTTTTTATGCAACTTATCATTAATATAGCAAAATAATTTATTAAATAAATGCATTAGAAGATTGGGCAAGTAGATTTTAAAATACAATTCAGGGGATCACAGGAAGATCATAAGTTAGAAACTATAGATAGCTAGATAAGAAATAAATTAAAAACTTACATGATGTATTAGTAATATCTATAGTACGATCACAGTGTCCAGTATATTTAGCTTCTTCAAGAGGATGTTTTTGTATAATTGATCTAGTGCTATACTCATAACGTATGGAAATATTAGTATGACATAATTTAGAATTATGATTTTTTGTTAGAGGGATATCTTGAAGACTCACATTTTTTGATTCTAAAGTACTATTACATTCATACGGAATTTTATTAGATATCTTTTTATTAGCTTTTATAGCTTCTAATCGGAGTTGCATTGAACCACCTCCTTTATACGTTGGTTTTAACAAACTTGTGTTACATTTAGATTCAAAATTTGAGTTTATATTTTTAGCTACGTTTAAAAGAGGAACATGAGTAGAATCTTGAATATCTGTTTTATTTATAGATACATATTGCTTATTTTTAATTTTTAATTCTTGATCACTATTCATTAATTTTTTAACAGCTATATAGTTCTGAACATTTACATCTTTTACATTCCTACTATTAGATAATTTTTCTTTTATGTTTTGTTTTTGTTTTAGTTTAGCACTTAATGAAGCATTTCTAGCAGCTTGAATGCGTTCTTCCAAAGTATCTTCATAAGTGGTATTTCCAATTTCAATGGTATATCCAGGTATAGTATTTTTGGAAATTTCAAGTATTGATTTTTTTTGATTTTCTTCCATTGTAAATACCTGATGAAAATTTATTTAATTAAGTATTTATTCACTAAGAATTTTTAATTATTTTTATTATAATGACTAAAATAAAAAGTATTATTTACGTTATCTTATTGGCATACAAGAAATAATGAATTAAAAAAATGATAGAGCATAGTTAAAGGACTTTGACGAATAACAATAGTAAAACGTTTTAATAATATAGAGAATATAACAGTATGCCGACATAATGTAGCATATCAAGCAAGGATCAATATATAGAGCAGGGAGCTTGCTGATCAATTTATAATAATATATTATGATAGTATTTATATTATACTGTAGTTTATTACTGTATAATATTGGGCCACAAACCTCCAAGTCTGACCCTGATTATTAGTATGTTGTATTGTGATAAGAACTATTCTAATAAAAACCAATAAACACAACATTTAATATTACATTAAAATAATAATAATAACTAATATTAATTTACAAGCAAATAACAAAACCTACAGAATCAAAACAATTTCAAGAGCACTGAGCAACATCAAATAAAAATTTATTTTTTTTTAGAAAATTCTACAATTTTCCTATATATATACATATATTATATGTAGTATAATAAATAGAAAAAAAAACATTTAAACCGTTAAATGTTTTACAAAAAATTATAAAACTATATGGGTTATGTCCCTAACATGTGGGTTTGACGAAGAAGTTGCCCAGCATTTTGACAATTAATTTAATAAATGAAAAAAAAAATTGTAGGTATTAGTTAACTTAAGAAATTTTAAGGCCATCAGTGTCAGGTCTTTTTAAATGACAGATAATAAGCAATAAAATACTTACATATTAGTGTGGTAACAATTGATAATAACTAATGCGAATGCATCAATAAATAAAAATGTAGTGAACCGTTCAAGGAGCAAATAAATTCATAAACGAATTAACTGCCAATAAAGAATGTTGAGCTACCTATAACTTACAATATGTAAAACGTAGGTATAATAATTAAAGTAATTATACTAGTAAAGTACTAAATTCAAGAAGGTAAATTGTACAAAATAAAAGTAGAAACTAGAAAGTTATTTCATAGATATAATGATTACTGTCATTACTGATAACTAATAAGCTATATAGATAAGAGTTTTTTTTTTTTTTTATATAAAATAAACAAAAATAAACACACTGAACAAATATTAGTCTATGGTCTACATAATATATGAGGTCTATGATGGTTTATAAGGTGAATATTTACAGTTCATACTTCATAGTGATAACAGGAATCGTAATTTCCAAAAAAAAACAATAATGCCTTGTGATTGGTTGAAATTTGCGATTAATATGCAGTAAACTAAATAGGTACCGCATTGTCATTATAGTATTATTAGTTATTAAGTAATGATAAATTATTAGTTATTATTATAACTAACCTGATTATAACCTGATCACTGTGATATTATGATGTTGCTTACAATAGTAGATGAAATCCAAAGGTTAACTTTTAAATACGAAACAAGGCTAGATCATCATGTCAGTCCATTGGCCATCCAATTATTAGACAACTCCAAGAATATCAGACGACTTAAGTGTCTGAAACCATATGACTTAATTTAAGATTTTAGAATCAGAGGACGTCGCACCCTTATGTGTTGTTTCCGACTTACATACATAGGTACATCATAGTAAAATTTCGTTCAGAAGAATCCATTTTATGTTGTTAGTTTTAACATTAGAGTAAATTACTTATTATCAAACTTAAAGGTAAGAATTTTATTTAGGCAATGACATATGCTTTTAATATTATAATTTTAAAGTGAGTTATGAGTATTTTAAAGTTTCAATATTTTATATAGCTATAAAATATTGCTTAAATAAAATTCTTACCTTTAAGTTTGATGATAGGTAAATTTATTTTAATGTTAAAGCTAACAAGTAGGTAACAACATAAAATGGATTCTGCTTAACGAAAATTTGTCATGTTGTATGTACCTATGTAAGACGGAAATAACACATGCAGCTGCGGCGTCCTCTTCACTGAAAGTGCCTCTATCATTGTGTAGTATATATAATTTATATCTAGTATGTAAAATATAAACAATAATTGTTAAACACATTTATAAATACTTTTGGGTCGTTTAAATAATAAAGCCCCGGGGCATTTAAAAAAAAAATTAAAAAAATATACCTGATAATCGTGGCTATAATGAAATATACATTGGTGATGACTGATGGGAAATCGGGAAAACTACCCGTCCCACGGTATAATATTATGTTAACAGTGGCGCCCAAAAAGGTTAGTAAGTGGTGCAATTGATGTGCCCTCGTAGTCTCGTGGTTGGTGGGTATATGGGTGGGTTGGTGGGTATGTAGTTGGATAACTCGGAATTTGGATACCAAACATTAAGAGCTATGGTAAACAAATCACAATGTTATTATTACAATGATATAACAATTTAAAAGAACGTTTTTAAATAAAAAAAAATGAGTGGGTGGGTAACTTTTGTTGGTTGCTTGTGCTTTAAAATACTTCTGTGCGCCACTATATGTTAATAATACATGAATAAGAGTATAATGTATTAATTGATCTTTACAAAGAAAATATAACGAAACAAAGGTTTGAACCGTTTGGGGAGTAAATATTGTTAGAAAAAGATAGCACACGACTGTTACCATTTAAAAGTGTCTACTATATTATACACATTTGCATGTATACGGGTATACTTCACTTCAAAAGAGAACATTCCGGTTTCGCGCATAGCGACTGACGGCTGGCGGCAGTTTCGAGACCAATTTCTCCCACTTTTGCCGAAATGTTGCGACGGATGTACACGATAGTCGTTCGAAGTTATCCGCTAAGTATACAGTAAATACCAATTTCAATTATTTGTAATATCTCACCGGTGGAATTGGTTGTTTAACAATCAGTATACGTAATTTGTATAATAAATTTATTTTATTATTTATTTGATGCGTCAAAAATGTCTTATTTAAAAATGTTTATTAATATCGATTTTATAATTAATTAATGAAATTAATAAATACTCAAATAGTTTTTTTTTTTTAAAGTAATTTATATTTAAATTAAATAATTTTTAAATAAGAAAATAAGAAATACAACAATAAATAATTAAAACTATCGGTCACTCTTAAAATAATAATAACTAAAATACATAATATATAGATATATAGAATACAGTATTTACAAAATATATATTTTTTAATCAATTTTATTAAAGATCGTAATTGTAATTGTCATTTTTGGACTTCGGTGTCGCTATTTGCGATAGTCATAACTCATAACTACGACGATGTTCAGCCGTCAATTATTCAATTGTAATATCTATTTTCCAAAACTTCTCTTCTTGTTTGATTGTGTAACTCATAAAGTTCTTTCACATTTCTGCATTTACTTTGTCTACTCCTTCAATAAAAAGATTTTTTACATCGGGCAATTTAAATGTATTGTTGTTCGACTTTACTTGCCGTTTTACCATTGACCAAGCTAACTTAATTGGGTTGAGCTCACAGTGATAAGGCGGTAACCTTAAAACTTTTTTGTTTTGTTGTAAAGCCATTTCGTCAATTTTGTATTTATTATATACATTGGTTTTAATGATTTGACAACTTCCAATTTTACTGAGTGGTATGGTGCATTACTCATAAATATAACTGCATTGTCTTTGAAACTAGGTAAAACACTTTAACCAATCATGAAAACTATCACTGTTTATTACATGGAGGTAGTCGTTGGTGTTTTTCTTAGACTCAAAACACAGTACCTAGTCCTTCAGGAACAAATCCGTCTTCGGAGCCGATGTGACCTACTATCAAGCATTTTCCTTTTTCAGTAGGGTTTACTTCTCTAGTAGAAGGGCCCTTGAAATATGTGTCTCGATTTGACTCAACTGTCGGATCACACCATATTTTCATTGCTACGTCTCTAGCATTCATCCACGTTTCATCAAGATAATAAATCAGTCGGCCTTCTTTTCGATATTTCTTTATGTCTTTTAAATAATTTTTCCGTTATAATCGGATTTCGCTATTTTTAATTAAAATTCTGCATCGTCCTCTTTTACTGAATGTAAGCCACATTCTTCATTGTTTTTAGAAGACGCCAAAATGTTGTAAATGAAAAGTTCGGTAAAGTGTTATCTTCATTTACAACAGAAAAGATCTTATTTACATTTGGTAACTCACGATTTATCCAAAACTGGTGTACTTTTCTTCGTATTACTTCTTTATGAAATTCGTCGACCTTACTAGTAACATTTTTAAAGTTTTTTGTTCTATTAGGTGATGAAATTGTTTTAAAATTCCTATACTCAGTAAGAGCTTTGGAAATTGTAGTAATTTTAATTCCAAGTTCTTTTTTAAGAATTGTTTGTGTCTTTCTGATACTAAGATTGGATTTGTTTCTATAATTTACTTTTATAGGCATTAATAATTATCTTCTTTGACCAAAAGAAACATGCTGAAAATTAAAAAAATATACACATAAATAAATAAAATCCATTTTTAAAACTCTCATATTGATAACCTTGACTATAAATTAAAATAATTACAAAGAATCAAATTAATTTTATAAAAAATATAAATTATTACCTACTAAAAAAACACAAATAAAAATAAATATTAATAAATTAAAATAATAAAATTTGAATAATTATTTTTAAAATTAAGTTAAGAAATATAAATATAAAATAAAAAAATATATCTATATCAATCAAATAAATATCTAATATTTAAAAATAATTAAATGTTGGAATTTTAAAATATATATGAAAAAAGAATTTGGATTAATCATATTTTAACTTTCTAGTTAGAAAAAATCAATAGTAAACTTTAACTTCAATAATTAATTAAATTAATAAAACAGCATTAATTTAATTTTTAATTTTAATTTTATGTAATATATATATATTTGGATTATTAATTAATTTCAAATATTTCAAAAATTACTTTTAATGAATTAAATATTAAACAAAAATTATAAAATTATAAAAGTATAATTTATAAATTTATTTTTTCAACATTATTTTACTTTAAACTATCATCAAATATAGAAAATTAATTTATATTTGAAGATAATTTTTATTATATAATTTAATAATTATAATCAAATTTTTCTAATTAAATTAATTTAATTCATTAATAAATAATAAAACTCAAATAATCAATTTTGCAAATCTCTTTTTTTTTATCTAAGAAATTATTTATTTGAAGTGAGTTAAATCAAAATATATTTAAATATTCAAATAATTACAAACAACTATGTGTCTATGTGACCTATAAATTATAACTACCTTTATCAAATTTGATGTATTATTTCTTGCATACATTTTAAATTAAGTTATTTTTTCTAGATATATACATTATATATTGAACCGATTTAAACTGTTGAGTAAAATATATTAGGTTAACATAATCTGTATTCAGTGCTGCAACTACACATTACAGGGCTGGTGTGCAAATCTTAATTTGGGGCCTAAATATTTTTTTTAAATGAATTTATCTATTGTTAATAAAATATGACAGCAGGCGTTCATACTATGAAAGGTTAATATTATAAGGAATATTATGGAAATTATTAAATTGTACAGATAATGGTTATAAACATAAGACATTTGTAAAATGATAGTATAATTTTAACACATTTGAAACTTAAGTATCTAATAAAATTGTTTTTTTCTCGCTTTTGCATATGCGAAGTTGCCAATGATTTTCTCTATATCTATCTCTGAAGTTCTTCTTCTTTCTATGTTTAGTATGGAAATTCCACTGAGCCGTTCTTGACTTATGGAATTGCGTAAATGACTGTATTAAATTATAATAGGCACAATATTATGATGTTTATGATTATTATGTATTATTGTAATTATTCTGTTAATTATTATATTACATTTATAATTTATTTTTATTGGATTCAAATCCAAATTTTTCTACACAATAATAATTATATTTAAATAAAGCATTTCCCTGTTTTTTTAACAAGTAAATTAAGAAAAAGGAAATAAGAAAAT